TTTTCTCTAGAGGCTTTTTTTTTTTTCTGCCTCTTTTTTCCCATCTCATTCTTTTCCCTGTCTCTTTGTGGGATCACGACTTAGAGCTTGCTGACTCCCATTCCACCAGCTGGTTCAGCTGTTCCTCTCTGGAAAAGTACTGTTTCACAGGGCTGGGGAGACTGAGCTTTTCTTGGAGACCCTACTGGAGGTCCTGCTTGTGTTCTTACCCTGTCTCAGATGGTGTGGAGGAGGCGGCTGGTTCATGCACACAAGCCCCAACCCACAGCCCTCCCAGCAAACCCAAGCTGGTGGTGAAGCCTCCAGGCAGCAGCCTCAATGGGGCTCCCCCTAACCCCACTCCCATTGTCCAGCGGCTGCCGGCCTTCCTAGACAATCACAACTATGCCAAGTCCCCCATGCAGGTAAGCTGGAGGCACCCTTGCAGGATTCTCTTCTTGATTCTCTTGAGAGGCCGCAACAGGCAATTTCCCCATGTGGTTCCTTGGTGTTCCTCCTTGGCATGGCTGGGTCAAGCTGCCTGGGCCTGGGTTGCTAGCTTCCTCTGCCTGATATGAAAAGGCCCCCACAACAGCAGGGGTTAGGGAGGTAGGGAGAGCTCCTTCTCCTTTGAATTTAGTTACATGGCTGTGGGATTAAATGTTTGGGGCACGCTCCTTGGTACAACTTGATGGATTGGGTTTTACTGACAAAGGCATGTGTTTCAGGGCACTCTGCTTCTCTTAGAAGCCCTCCGTGGGCTTCTATGAAGTGTAAGTGGGTGGCAGCCTCCCTACGAGCCAAGGACAGCCCTTGGAACGCCCGGAGGGGTTCAGCTGACTCAGTCTGGAAAACCATGTTGGCTTTCTCTCTGGCTGTGCCTAGGCTCAGCCTGGGCTGAGCAGTGCTTGTTTGTAACTGCCGTGGTCTCTGCCCCAGGAGGAAGAAGACCTGGCGGCCGGTGTGGGCCGCAGCCGAGTTCCAGTCCGCCCACCCCAGCAGTACTCAGATGACGAGGACGACTATGAGGATGATGAGGAGGATGACGTGCAGAACACCAGCTCTGCCATTAGGTTAGCCCCAGCTTTCTAAGGCTACCAGGCTCTGGGTGCTTCAGATCCCAACCTGAATATCTCAGTCTGTGTCCAAGAATGCCGTGCAGCAGATAGCGTTGAGCACCTGTGGAGTATGGGGCCCTGGGGGTTGCTGGCATGATAGGGCTAACCCCAGGTCCCCAAATAGTTTTTGGTGGGCTAGGGGGCAAGGCTGAGTACATAAGCATATATCATGTCCTATTGGAAGTGACCTTTTAGCCAGGCCTTGAAGGATTGATTGGGGCAGGGATGGAGGAGATGTGGGTGGTGGGAAGGCAGTTTTGCTGGAACAAAAAACATTGGCAAAAGGCCAGGAGTGAGATTGCTGGAATAGAAGAGGTGTCCTTTGAGGACACTTGACTGCAGCTGACAGAGCTTGATGCCAGGCTTAGCATGGCTGGGTCAAGCTGCTTGGACCAAGTATAAGGAGTTTTTGGGTCAGTCTCTGGAGGTCAGGATGCGTTCAAGCCATTTTTGGGCACTGCTGGGTATGGTCACCTGGCCTATTCCCTTGCTTCACATCTTCTTGTGCCCCACAGGTATAAGCGGAAGGGAACAGGGAAGCCAGGGGCATTGAGCAGTTCTGCTGATGGGCAGCTGTCAGTGTTGCAGCCCAACACCATCAATGTCTTGGCTGAGAAGCTCAAGGAGTCCCAGAAGGACCTCTCAATTCCTCTGTCCATCAAGACTAGCAGTGGGGCTGGGAGTCCAGCTGTGGCAGTGCCCACACACTCGCAGCCCTCGCCCACCCCCAGCAACGAGAGTACAGATACGGCCTCCGAGATCGGCAGTGCTTTCAACTCGCCACTGCGCTCGCCCATCCGCTCAGCCAACCCGACGCGGCCCTCTAGCCCTGTCACCTCCCACATCTCGAAGGTGCTTTTTGGAGAGGATGACAGCCTGCTGCGTGTTGACTGCATACGCTACAACCGTGCCGTCCGTGATCTGGGTCCTGTCATCAGCACAGGCCTGCTGCATCTGGCCGAGGATGGGGTGCTGAGTCCCCTGGCGCTGACAGGTGGGCCTTGGACTGGCTCACTGGCTACTTGGTGCACCCAGGAGGGAGGAGGGAAGTGCCTAAGTGACCACAAAATGTCCTGCTTTCTGATGATTTTCTCGTGAACTCTCTTCCCAGAGGGTGGGAAGGGTTCCTCGCCTTCCATCAGACCGATCCAAGGCAGCCAGGGGTCCAGCAGCCCAGTGGAGAAGGAGGTCGTGGAAGCCACGGACAGCAGAGAGAAGATGGGGCTGGTGAGACCTGGCGAGCCCTTGAGTGGGGAGAAGTACTCACCCAAGGTGAGCCTTCTTTGTGGCTTTCTCCTTTAATCCTGGAGGAGGATAGGGCCTGAGCTCCTGCTGCCCAGGTGCCACGTTCTTGATTAAAACTTTGGTGTGAAGATTGGTGACTGGAGCTAGGTGCCAGGAAGACTTTCTGGGTTGGGTGGTGGCAGGGGCCTCTGTAGGCATGGACTCGCTGCTCATCCTTGCCTCTAGCTGCCTATTGCTCATGGGGCTTTGTTGCTGGCCAGCCCCCATCAGAGGTGCAATGCTGGGTTTTGGCAGGAGCTGCTGGCACTGCTGAAGTGTGTGGAGGCTGAGATCGCAAACTATGAGGCATGCCTCAAGGAAGAGGTGGAGAAGAGGAAGAAGTTCAAGGTGGGTGATGTCTCCATTCCCCTGATCTGGCCCCTCCTGAGGTCTGCTGGTAGCTGCTCTGGCAAGATGGGTTCCAGTGCTCTCAGCCTTCTTCTCTCCTACAGATTGATGACCAGAGAAGGACCCACAACTACGATGAGTTCATCTGTACCTTCATCTCCATGCTGGCTCAGGAAGGTGAGGGGATGCACTGTGGTCTTAACTGCCATGCCCTGCTGAGGGCCATGTTCTTCAGCGCCCCTCCCCTGGCCTCTCCTGAGGCTTGAGCAGACTTGGGGCACAGGGAGGGCCATGAGAGCCTCAGCTCCTGGACTGAGGCAGCCAGCACCTGCTCAAGGGTCTCTGCTTCTCTGCAGGCATGCTGGCCAACCTAGTAGAGCAGAATATCTCCGTGCGGCGGCGCCAAGGGGTCAGCATCGGCCGGCTCCACAAGCAGCGGAAGCCTGACCGGCGGAAACGCTCTCGCCCCTACAAGGCCAAGCGCCAGTGAGGACTGCTGGCCCTGACTCTGCAGCCCACTCTTGCCGCGTGACCCTCACCAGGGTCTTTCCCTGCCCCACTTTCCCCTTTCCCAGTATTACTGAATAGTCCCAGCCAGAGAGCCGAGGCCCTGGGAATAGGAGGAACCTGGCCATATTCCCTGCATCATGTCCTGAGGCCTGGCACAGGGCAGATCAGCCCCTTAGTGCTCAGGAGGCAGCATATGGAGTTGGGGCACAACGAGGTACTGTAGCTTCTTCCACAGCCGGCTGTGGTGCAGCAGGACCTGGCCCTTCTGCCTGGGCAGCAGAATATATATTTTACCTATCAGAGACATCTATTTTTCTGGGCTCCAACCCATCTTGCCACCATGTTGACATAGGTTCCTTCCTGACTGTGCTTTCTCTCCTAACAGCTGTCCTGGTTGGCCCAGGTCCTTGTATCATGCCAGAGTCACAACTATAGGGTCCCAGCTGCGGGCCTGGGTGGGCAATGGGCCCTGCTGCTCTAGCCCCAGCCACCAGCCTGTCCCTGTTGTAAGGAAGCCAGGCCTACTCTCTTCATTCCTCTTAGGAGAGTGCCAAAAACTCAGGGACCCAGCACTGGGCTGGGTTGGGAGTGGGATGTCCCAGTGGGGGTTGGGCGAGCAGCCTGCTGGGATCCCATGGCCTGAGCGGAGCATGTGGGAACTGTTCAGCGCCCTGTGAACTGTCTTCCTTGTTCTAGCTAGGCTGCTCGAGACTGCTCTCCACAGCAAGGTTCTGGGGCTTTTTGCCCTCAGTGTTGTGGCCCTAGCTTTGGGCCTAACTTGGGCTCCGGGTCTCTGTCCCTGGAGCTTGGGGCTCAGAGGAGCCTCTGCCCAGCCCCTCAGTATTACCATGTCTCCTTCCTCTTAGGGGTAGCAGAGACAGGGCTGCTTGTAGGAAGCTGACACCACTCAGCTCTCCCTGCTACTCCAGCTTCCTCAGCCTCTGCAAGGCACTCAGGGTGGGGGACGGCAGGATCAAGACAACCAGTTGGAGCCCTGTGTTCCAGAGGGCCTGATGCCAAGGGGTAATGGGCCCAGCACTGCCTCTGGAGCCCAGGCCCCAACACAGCCCCATGGCCTCTGCCAGATGGTTTTGAAGGCGATCCAAGCAGGCCCCTTATCTGTACATAGTGACTGAATGGGGGTGCTGGCAGGTGTGACAGCTGCCTCTGGGCAGAGCACAGCCTGATCCCTCTAGCCCCTGTAAATACTGGATCAATGAATGAATAAAACTAAGAATCTCCTGAGAAATGAACCCTCCTGTGGTTGCTGGCCTGATGCGGAGGCTGGACTACATGTGTGTGGTGGGAGGGAGGGACTTACTAGACCTTGTGGGCCCAGGGCCCTGGGACCAGAAAGGCAAGAAGTATATGATCCTTGAGTGTCCAGCTGTCTTGGGCCAGAGATCCTTGGGACCCTAGACATAGGATTTAGAACCTGAGCTAAGGAGGGGCTTCTGGTGGGCTGTGGACAGGGTATGCTTTCTAGGGAGAGGGCTTTCAAATCTGGCTTTGCAACCTGGAGAGGGGCTGGGACTCCCAGTCAAAGAGGCAGCGCTGCCTCTAATCTTGCCTGGTGTGTTCTCCCTGGGAGGGTGCTGGGCGTCTCTTCCTTGTGTTTGTATAGGCAAAGCAGGTCAATGCTGCCACCTCTGTCCTGCTCTCCCCTGCTGACTGCATCGTCTGCTGAGGCTGCTGTAGCCCCTCACCACCCCACTGGCAGTGAGTCCAGAGGGGCCCTCATGCAAGCAGCTAAGGCACAGCTGGACTGTTTAGAAAATTCAGCTTTAATGGCCCGAACCCTTCTGTCTGAGTCTAGTAGTCCAGGGCACAGATGAGGGCCACACCACGTTTTATCCAGTGTCGCTGGGGCTGATGGGTGGGGATCTCCACAGCAATGACATAGTTGGTGGAGTGGCCTGTGGTTGATAGTGTTCCTGGAATGGGCAAGGAGGGGGACAGGTTAGGTCATGCCCCATTACTACTAGAGCAGGGATGGTGTAGGGGCAGGGTAGTGGGCAGACTAAGCTGAGGACAGGGAGGGAGGCCCTGACCCAAGAGGAAGCCTGCCGGATGAGCTGGTCTGGCCAGGGTTCAAGCCTACCCAGGGTTACTGTATTAGGGACTGAAGAACTGAAGATAGAGATGGCAAAGTTGATGCTACTTTTCATTCTCTGATGGACCCAGCCCAGACAAGTTCCTGTTCTGGGCCTCAGTTACCCTTTGAACTCTCAGTGACAGGCCAGGGCTTGTAGACTTCTAGGACCCAAGGTAGGCCTGCTGAAGGATAGGAGCTCAGGGTGCTCCCCACAGCTGGATGGCAGGCCTTGGGCATTAATCTGCTTGCAGCTTGCTGGCCTGGCCCAGATCTCTATATTCATTCCTTGTTCAGCTAACCTGGGTCAGTCTGACTGGCTTGGGCTGGGCTGGGTTGGGTTAGTCCTGGGTCCCCACCTGTAGTGTAGGCTCCCACCCCAGGCCTCATACCAGCACGAGTCAGTGTCTTGTAGATGGGGCACAGGTAAAAGTCCTGGTCTTGGGCCTTGCGGTTGGGTGTTGGCAGGAGCCAGATAATGGCCATCTCTGTGTACAGCTCCTTGGGCTGAGACTCGGCCAGCTGGAAGGCCTCTGGATCCCAGCGGGCACCTTCCAGGAAGAGTCCATGGATATAGCACCCTATTTGGGGTCTTTGTGTTAACTGCGATGATGCCTCAGACATTACCTGTGGGTAGACACAGACACGCCCCACATACATACCAATACCCAGAATCTGGGTTAGGATTTTGATCAGGAGACACATCTCCCTTCTGAGAGCTGAGTATTGCCTAATGCTGCCTGCCTGCTCATCATGTACCTACCACTTTAGCCCGGGGCCTGTGGTCTGTGCCCTGCCCCTGTGGATTTTGATGGACCCAGCCCAGACCCGTTCCTGGGACTCATGGCCTCCTCTGGCCTGGGTCTTCCCAGGCCCTGGCTTAGGGATTCCCCAACTGCCCACCAACTATGGCCTCTTTTCTGCCTGGGGTGTACCCTAGCCGGTCACCTGACCTGGGCCTGACTGTGCCCAGACCTTGAAATCAAAGGAGATGGTGTCGATGGAGATGACAAATTTGCGGGCAAAATTCTGCAGAGTGCCTGTCAAGAAAGCCTGAGGGAAGAAGAAGCCACTGATCCAGAAGATGGCTGGGATGCCACCTTCAATCCAGGCCTGCAGAAAGTCCAGGCGTTGCAGCAGGTCCATGACCCACGAGGACAGAGGCTTGAGTGATGGGTAGGCCTTGGCACTCCAGAGCTCAGGCACAGTATTGTTGTACAGGCTGGCAGCCATCAGTTCCAGCTGTGAGGACATCACCACCAGCCCCTTGAGTGCCTTGAGCAGGTCTTGCAGTGTCTGTGTGATCACCTGCAGCAGCCTATTGTACCTATGAGGCCAGTGGCAAGGGAACAGGCAATGGGCTGGGATCGTGTGACAGTGGCTATGCTCCCCAGTTCAAGGCCACAGACTGAAAAACATTGGCAGAATATAGAGGCTAAGAGCAGAGAGCTGTGTCAGGTGGACTGGGTACAATCCCAGCTCTGGCCCTTAGCAAATGTGTGAAGTTGGACTTGGACAGCTTACTGAACAGTTTGGGGGCCTCAGTTTACTCATCTATAAAATGGGAATAATAAGTGGCACCTGGTCAATAGTAACTCCTGGTGTCATTTCTCTACAGTCCAGTGGCCGCTGACTTGGGGCAGGTGTATGGCAGGGTGATTACCTAATGACCTCTTGTACTAGCACTGTGTTCATTGATTCCTCATACAGCACTGGGTATTTGGCCATCACCAATTGCAAGTTGATAGGCTCAGGCACCTTGAGCAGAATGTTTTGGGCGATGTCCTCCACTATCTGCAAGGGCAAAGGAACACTGGGGGTCAAGACAGGCCCCCATTATCCCCTGTGGGATTCCACATGCACAGAGCTCGTTCCACAGGGGAGTGGGCAGGATGGTGGAGCCTAGCCCATCCAGCCCTTAGGCCCCTTCCTCTGACACCACCCACCTCCTCCCGGCCCTGGCTGCCTGCAGAAGACGATTTGGGTTGCAGCTGGATGATGGCACCCAGCAGGGCAAACGTCTCATTCTGGGCAAAGGTGATGTTGGCATTGTCATGCAGGCCAAAGATCTCAGGCATATCATTGAGTGGCAGGCTCTTGATGTAGGAGAGGTAGCCCTAGGAGGGAGGAGGCCAAAATGGAAGCCCCTGGCTTGCTCCACCCCAGCCTTGAGAGTCACCCTCCAATGGAGCACATCCCCACTTGTCACATCCCTCACTCGTCACCCCTGCTTATAATCCTTATGCATGTCCCTGCTCTTGGGACTCCCCCTTGTTACCGCCACCCATCCCCTGCCCCTCTATTCAGTGGCCCAAACCCATCAGGCTCCCTCCTGGTGCAGGCCCTTTACACTGATGACCCACGCAACCCAGCCCCAGCTCATGGCTTCTCCCCACACATCTTAGGAGGAGCATCATTTTTGTGGCAGCCCTCCCTGACTGCAGAGTCTGGGCCTGGTTACCATCTTGGAGGAGCTGCCCCAAACCCTCACTGAGTAATTCCACCTAGGGAGTGGCTGACCAGGTATTCACCCACAGAAGCGAGCCCCAGCGGGCAGGGACTGACTCCCTTGCCAAGGCTGTCTTTGTGGGATGGATTGATCAATGAAAAGAAAGCTGATGGAGGGTGGAGGCTGCGTCTTTTCTCACCCAGAACCCCAGCCTGGCAGGCCCTTCCTGTGCAGCCCTTTGGGCTGGACTCACGTGCAGGTCATTGGTGGGTGGGATCTGGTGGTAGATGCCCGAGGCACTGTAGCTGTGCTCAGGGGAGAGCACATCGGGGTTGTAGAAGTCCTCCAGGATGTTCATGATGCAGCGCCGGTCCCAGTCGTCAGTGACACGGCCCCCGTAATTGATCTCCCCTGCCGTGTACTTGAGGACCTACGGGGTGGGTGGGTGAGGGCTCCCATTAAGTGCCCAGTCCCCAGGCCCCAGTCTGCCCCAGGCCCACCTTGTAGGGGATGACATCATATTCATCCAGGAACATCTTGAGCTGGCTGATGCAGATGCGCAGGTCTCCATCTGTGAACTCATAGGGGATGTTGAAGCCTAGGGGCCCAAACTTACGGCGCTCCAGGGCGTTCCCATGGAACAAGCTCAGAGACAGCAGCAGAGACTTGAACTCTGTCACCTGTGGGAGGTGGGAGGCAGGGGAGGTGAGGAGCGGGGCCAGGGGCCAGGTCGGGCAGGCCTGCACCGAGTATGCCTCACCTTGTGGCAGGAGTTGAGGAAGTCTTCACTGAGGCTGCTGTAGGACTTCAGCAGGTTGGCCTTAACACCGCGTGGCGGCTCAATGGTCATCTTGGAGCCGTTCTGCAGGATGGACACTGGGAACTTGTTGCTGGGCAGGCTGGTGAGCCAGAGGCGGAAGTCCCTGTGCACCTAGCGGCCACAGCTCCCCATGAGCATTGAGACCCATACCTGGTGGCCACCACGACACCAGGCTCCCTCCTGCCCACGGACCCTGGGCCGACCTTCAGCCTGACTGCAGCCCTGAGGTGGGCCAGCTGAGGCTGCACAGACAACTGGTTAAGAACTGGGCTTTAGCAGGCCAGGCGCAGTGGCTTACGCCTGTAATTCCCGAACTTTGGTAGGCCAAAGTGGGTGGATGGATCATGAAGTTGATCTCTTGATCAAGACTATCTTGGTCAACATGATGAAACCCTGTCTCTACTAAAAATACAAAAATTAGCTGAGCGTGGTGGTGTGCGCCTGTAGTCCCAGCTTCTGGGGAAGCTGAGGCAGGAGAATTGCTTGAACCCGGGAGGCAGAGGTTGCAGTGAGCTGAGATCGCGCCACTGCACTCTAGCCTGGCAATCTCAAAAAAAAAAAAAGAAAAAAGAATTGGGCTTTGGCAAGTCTCAGGTCACTGGTCTGTGCTAGGTGGCCCTGGGCAAGTCGCATCACCACTTGTACCAGTAACTGGGGGTAGGGGGTGGATTGAGAGGATTAATCCAGTCAATGTGTGGCACATGTCAGTTGCTAAGCACTTGCTACATGCTGGAGGCTGGGCGGAGTAGTTTGCATGATTCTCTTAATTTCTGGCTCATTAGATCCTGATGGATGCAGAGGAGGCCTCAGTGGGTCTGTGATGGGCAGGGCAGCACACCTTATCTGGGTTGATGTGCTCGATGAGGTGTTCCAGGGCTGGCATCCAACTTGGTGCCAGGTGGCAGTTCTGGAAGAAGACCCACTTGCCCCTCTCTATGGAGCTACGCATCATGGCTTCCGCCCGAGGGCCCTGCAGGAGCAGGAACACTGAGCAATGGGGCCAGCTGGCCCAACCCCAGCCCACTCCCTTCCTCCCTGCCTAGCCCTCACCTGTCCCTGGCCCAGGGAGATGGCAGAGAGCTTTTTGGAGAACTTCATTTCATCAGCAAACTTGTAGAGGTCAGCAGCAGGGTCTGTGCCAGGTGACAGCACAAAGATGAGGGGTGTGGTGGAGTTGGAGTCTTTGAACACCACTGACAGGTTGGCTGTCTGCAAGGGCAGGGAGAGATGCTGAGACCACCTGGGGCTGCAGAGAGATCAGGGCAAGGGAGGCAGATCTGAGGTTCTCAGAGTGGTCCCTGATGGGCTTTCTGGTGGGGGCTAGAACCTCTCAGAGCCTTTAGGGAGCAAGGAGAGGTCCTGACCTGGCCAAGGCTGCAAAGTAGTCTATTCAGGTGCAGCCAGGGCTCTGGGACCCGGGACGGGGACGACCCCAAGGTGCCAGTCCTGCCAGGGTGCCAGCACTTGCCTGGGGCTCAATGAAGCGTGGCTCCAGGTTGGTGGCCACAAAGTCCTGCATGGCATTGGTAACCTTGTCCCCACGCAGGCATCGGAGGACTAGGAGCTTCTGGAACTGATCTAGGTACTGGTCCCAGATGCCAGGCAAAGGCTCCCTGCAACAGTGGTCCATACCTCACTGAGAGCCAGTCTGTTGGAAGGAGGTTGGTGACCCTAGGGATTCTGCCAGCTGGGCAGGGGAGAGTGGGCTATCCCAGGGATGTGACACTGGAGGCACATAGGAGATGTGTCCACAGCCCCAGGGAAGCCCTGGATGGCTCCTTAGAGAAGGCTCCCAGACAAGCCATTTCCTAGGGGCTCTTCCCCTTGTTGTGCTCATCCTGCCATATTCTGGGGCCCAGCTAACCGGTGGGGCTCAAGGCTGTCGAAGATGACTCGGAATTCTGAGAGGTGCTTCACAAAGTCGGAAGAGAAGGAAGAAAAGGTTGCCAGGTTCGAGAGTGCTAGGATGTCTCGCCAGGCCCGGTCTGACAGCCAGTCGGGTGCTGGATTCTCAGTCACAATCTGGATGGAGCCCCCGGACAGGAGGTAGCGCCACTCACTCTGCCAGGAGACAAGAGGAGGCTGGTGCCCAGGCCCTGGCCAGCTCCTCCTCCTCTGGGCACCCCCACCCAGTAGTGCCTCTCATACTCCCCTCACCTGGAGAAACTGAGTCTCCCTTGGGGGTGGTAGTTGAACAGGTCTGGGTTAGTATTCCCACCCTGCCTTTCCTGGCTGTGTGACCTTAGAGCAAGAGATTTGACTTCTCTGAGTGTCTGCCTTCTCATCTGAGAGTAGAAAGAATCAGAAGGCTGACTGCTTCCCAGGCCAGAGCCCTGTGCCAGGCACCGTCTAGGGCTCCGGCAGTTGTGGCTGTCACTCTCACTGTCTCAGCAGGGCTTTCCAGTGCACCACAAAATGCGTGGGGCTTCCTAAGAGTGTGAGCCAAGCAGGTGTGGCAGGCTCAGGGCAGTCTGTCCCTGGGGACAGTCTTCATGCTCACCAGCACACTAAAGGATTGAGAAGGCCTGTGCTCACAGCATTGGCCTTCTTGGGCCTCGAGCCATTGGTTGGACCACAATTAACCCAGGGTCTTCTGGCTGTTTTATTTATTTATTTAGAGACAGAGTCTCACTCTGTCTTTCAGACTGGAGTGCAGTGGCGCCATCTCACTCACTGCAACCTCCATCTTCTGGGTTAAAGTGATTTTCCTGCCTCAGCCTCCTGAGTAGCTAGGATTATAGGCATGCACCACCACACCCAGCTAAGTTTTGTATTTTTAGTAGAGACCAGGGTGGTTTTGAACTCCTGGCCTCAAGTGATCCACCCGCCTTGGCCTCCCAAAGTGCTGGGATTACAGGTTGAGTCACTTTGCCTGGCCCTGGCTTTTTTTTTTTTTTTTTTTTTGAGACGGAGTCTTGCACTGTTGCCCAGGCTGTATCGCAGTGGCATGATCTTGGCTCACTGCAATTTCCAACTCCTGGGTTTAAGCAATTTTCCTGCCTCAGTCTCCTGAGTAGCTGGGACTACAGTCACGTGTGCCACCACGCCCAACTAATGTTTTTGTGTTTTCAGTAGAGATGGGGTTTCACCATGTTGGCCAGGATGGTCTCGATCTCCTGACCTCGTGATCTGCTCGCCTCGGCCTCCCAAAGTGCTGGGATTACAGGTGGGAGCCACCACACCCGGCCCTAGCTGTTTTTAATCAAGGAATTGTTTCCTCTGCCCCTTTGCTCTTGCGGTGCCCTCATGCCTGGCTTTCTCTTTCCTTCCGCCCTGTTCTCAGGCCCTGCACAGGGCCACCCCTCAGGATGTCTGTCCTGGGCGTCTCTGCCAGCACCTGGTTGATTTTGCCCTCGTTCATCATGATGCGAACACACAGCAGGAAGGCAAACATCAGCTTATGCTTCTCAAAAAGGCTGCGACAGACGTTGCTGTAGAGGCTGTAGGTCAAGTAGCGGTTGATGTTGGAGATGCGCTTCTTCAGGTTGTCTGTGAGTGGAGAAGTGATGGCGTGCGGAGAGGTGAGAGGAAGGAAGAGCCCCGGAGTCCAGCCCAGCCTAGACAGTCTCCCGAGCAGCCTAGGGGCAGCCTGGGTCTCCCTTTGGGGCACTTGGTGTTCCCAGTGAAGGGGCGGGGAGGAGGGTAGGGAGTGCTGTGTGCGTTCTTATGTATTGTGAGTCTAATAGGAGAGGGCATGCCAGTGAACACAGTTGAGTTTGTGTGTGCCCCACAGTGGAAATGTGTCCACATGGGTCATCTCTGTGCAGGGTAGCAGCCTGGCGTCCTGGCGCTACCTGCTCTCTCTGAGTTGGCGATGCCCGAGAGGAAGATGTTGAGAAACCACTCGAGGGAGTACTGGTACATGGGGTCCACGTTGGCCAGGTCAGACACACAGAAAAAGAGGATCTGGGTACGGACGGCCACAGGTATGTACTCCATGCGGGTCAGGTCAATGTCCTTCTCCGTCTGCTCTGCAATCCTGACCTTGGCCTGTGGGTGCCGTGGGTCGGGGAGGAGTCAAAGAGCAGAAGGCAGGGGGCTTGGGGGGCAGGCAGGGAGAGGTGGTTGCAGGCCCGGGGCAGGCCCAGGGCAGGCCCAGGGCAGGTGGGTGGGCAGACAGTGCTGACCTGGATCTCAGCGGCCTTCATCTTAGAGGCTTCCAGAACCTTGATGAGTTCCACGTCATCTACAGGGTTGCCCTCGGAGGAACTGAGCCGGTACAGGATCTGGTCCTCAATGTCCTTCAGCTCGTGGCGCATCTTGGCATTACTGATAATCAGCTGGTTCTTGGCCTCCTCCAGGTCAGGTCGCTCCTCTGCCACTACCTGGCCCAGTAGCTGGTCCTCTAGGCCACTGTCGGGGGCAGGGGACAACAAGTCTATAATACCTGGTGGGCCCTGGAGGACCAGCCGTGAACTTGCTCACCTATCCACCTGTGCTTCTGCAGCTCCAAGAGCCCAGCATCCTTGCCAGTGTTGGCCTAGGAGGCCTAGCCTCCATCTCAGGCTGCAGGGCTAGTGCAGAGCCTGCCTTCGAAGACACCAGTTCTCAGTGAGCCCTTGGGTGGCAGCCTGGAATCCTAGAAGGGGCTGACAAGCTGAATATGTGAGCTGCTGGGGTCTCCGGACAATACCTCCTTGGCAGGAGGGGGCTGTGGGTGATACACAGAGACAGGATGTTTTCATCCCCTGCTTTGTGGAGAAGTTTACACTGACCACTGAAATGGAGGCCTTCGCACAAAGCAGGCCTGTGGGCTGTGGTCTGTTTATGGAAGGCCAGCAAAAACCACAGTGCCTGGACTCGTGACAGCAAGGATAGGAAGCAGGACACTTGGGTTCAGGGAGCCAGAGTGTGCTCACCTTAGGGTTCTGGGGCAGCTCTGAGGATGAGGGCACAGAGCCCGGCAAGGGCTCAGCAGGAGAGAAGGCGTCCCTGGAGGAGGTGAGGCTAGTACTAGACACGGAGGCTGGGGACCCTGACCAGGGATCTGGATGAGGTGGGATGAAGGTTCTTAGGTGGAAACAGTGGCAGGTAGGAGGAGCTAGTGGAGGGGCTAGAAAGACTTGGAATGTGAGTGCCTGGGGGGGAAACTGGCAAAGACTTTGAGTGGGGGAAAGCCCCACTGAGTCCCAGCCTAGGGCTGGGAGAGGGACAGCTTGGCAGGCAGAGCTGATGTGTGGGGGTCCCCAGAGGCAGGGGCTTACCTGGGCGACAGGGTGAAGTTGATGAGGGTGAGTTTGGTGGAGATCTCGGGTGTGTAGTGTGGGTTGGGCAGCTTGGTGGTGATGTACATCCTGAAGTCCTCATGGTAGGGGATCACCGTGTCCCCCAGCTTCAGCACCGTGTTTCCCTGCTGCTTATATGTCTGTGGCAGGTGGGACCAGTGGGTGCTGTGGACTGAGCATCACCAGTGGGGCAGGGGAAGGGCACTGCCCTGACCAGGCCTACAGCCACCCTACTGTCACCACTGCAGACCCACCTGCTTCAGCAGCACGGGCTCCAGGGCCGGGTCCAGCTCCTCGCCCACGTTCTCCAGGAGACATGGCTTGCCAAAGCGGATGGCATTCTCCATGCTGCGCAGAAAGTCACGGTCACTCAGCTTGAACACATCCAGCCCATTGTCCTTCTCCTGCAAGGTAATGGGGAAAGGGAGGGCTGTAGGGACTGAGAGCCAGCCTGAGGCTCTACCGCTCACCACTGCCCCTGCTATGCCTGGCTGGCGTGGGGTGGTGGTGCCTGGTGGGTGGGCTCACCATGTTCTTGATCCACTTGTTGGCCTGGCTCTGAGGGTCAATGAAGTGAGTCCAGCGCTGGGAGAACTGGTTGATGACCCCGTTCTCCACTGACAGTGTGTCGTTGGGGAGGCCAGCAATCTGTGGAGACGCAAGGCTTTCTTGCAAGGATGGTCACTGGGGGCGTCGGCCTCTCCTGGCCTTGTGCTTTGGCTATGGACTTTCCTCTTCTTACTGCATCCCCTTGGAGGCTGGGGGCAGGTGACAATGTGGGCAAGGCCTCACCCCCAGGACTCCTGCCTCTCCCTGCTCCTGAGCTGGCTACCTAACCATGGCACAGCCCCTGAGACAGTACACACCCAAGGACACTGATGGCCCCAGATGAAAAAAAGAAACCCGCAGACAGAAAAGTCCTCTTTCACCTTTCTGTCCTCTTGCCTACCGAGCGCTCACTTGGTGAGACCGTCTTCATGGAGCCCATACCTCGCTGACCATCCTGGCCTCTGCCCACACCTGGCCTCTGCCTACAGCCTCTTCATTCTCTCTTTACCAACTCTCCTTGCCCTTTGGAGTCTTGCTCAGATTCTTCCTTTAGAAAACCTTACTTTTCTTTTTCTGGCAATGGCATGATTTTGGCTAACTGCAGCCTCTACCTCCTGTATTCAGGTGGTCCTCCCACCTCTGCCTCCCAAGTAGCTGGGACTACAGGCATGCACTGCCATGCCTGGCTAATTTTTAAATTTTTAGTAGAGATGGGGTTTTGCTAAGTTGCCCAAGCTAGCGTTGAACTTCTGGGCTTAAGCAATCCACCTGCTAAGGCCTCTCAAAGTGCTGGGATTATAGGTGTGAGCTACTGCATCCGGCCAGACAACCCTTCTAAACCCTCACTCTGGACACTGCTTCTCAACCTCCACCCCACGCTCTTGAAAGTACCCCTAATCCCTCTCCCCACATTTAGCTAACGTCTGTGCCACACTCAGCCCAGCTTTCTCTTCCTCTCCTACCCACCACCCGCTTGCTGGGTCCAGCAGGGCTCGGCAGAGGCAGCTCCGAGCCAGGCCCCAGAAAGCAGGGTAGGAGGGAAGCAGAAGGCTTTTGGCTCTGCCTGGACCATGCCATAGGCCCTGCCTGGGCACTCTTGTCCCTGGGGTGGGCACCTGCCATGAGCGGATCTTCACAGGGTTTCCCAGCGTCCCGATTAGCGTGGGCTCGGAGGTGTGCGGGACATTGTGGCTCTTGAGCTGCTTGACCCAGCTGTCGTAGAGCACCGTGCGGTACTGGCCCTGGGGAGATGCCGGACTCAGGACCATCCCACCACAACACCCACAGAGACCTCCCAACTCCCACTACACCGCAGTGCTGGGCAGTTGCAGAGATCTGAGTCAGACATGGAGCCAGACACCTGCATTTTAATCCCACTTTGGGTGATTTCCTTGGCCTCCACAAACAGCCTTCATCTGTGAAACAAGCAATGCTAACGATGCCCGCCTATAATGGCGGCTATGTGGATTAAATGGGACACAGATGGCGTGTTTAGAACGGTGCCTCGCATGCAGCAAGTGTAGAAATGTGAGCTCTTCTATGTTCCCACTAGATGGCTTTTCTGGCTGTTTTGTACACTGCTGTATCCCCAGGTCTACAGCGCCTGGCCCAAAGAAGGTCCCTGAGAAGTGCTTGTTGAATGGCTGAGTGAGGGAAGAGTCACCCGTAGGCTGCCTGTCATGGAGGCGAGGCCTCAAGGAAGAAGGGCATCTTTGGGAAGGCGAGGCTGTTTAGAGACAGAGGTGGGGACTCCTTACCGTGAAGGGGCCCAGGTAGGCCACAAAGCCAGCAGCTACCAGGACATCGCCGGAGATGTTGTTGAGCATGTACTGTAGGTTCTCCACCGTCTCCTGCCAGCGCACCTTCTCATCCGACAGCCCGTTGATGAGCTGGAGGGGCAGCCACGTGGGATGGGCTCTGGGAGGCTGGGCTGGGAGCCTGGGACTGGCCCTGCCCACTGTAACACCTGGGGTTGCCAGGGAAGGGGTATGGACAGCCACCCCAGGACCCCCTCCCGACACCCTGGTCCCTTCTGGCCCCTGTCTGGGCCAGGCACAGCTGAAGCCCTTGCGGGAGGAGGGTTCGCACCTTGCCAGCGCGGCCCAGCCGCTGCCCACACTGCTCACACTTCAGCTCCAGCTCCTCCTTCTTGGCAATGCATTCCCGGTACTTGGCCTGCATTGTGGCGATGCCATCCTCCACCTCACAAAGGCGCTGCTTTGCCTCATCCAGGATCCGCTGCGTCACTTCCAGGTCTTCCTGGGCCTCCCGCAGGGCTTGCTGCAGGGTGGAGGACACGGCTAGCTCACTGAGTACCGCCGGGAGGGGAGCCCACCCCCACCCCCACCCCCACCCCCACCAGCTCCACTCAGCCCTCACCCGCTTGGGCTCCACGGCTTTGGCCACGAAGTGGTACTTGTGCATGGCGCGCACCCACTGGCAGATGGAGGTGCAAGCCTTGGACACCTTGGCAATGGCGGCTGGCTGGAACTCTTCATTATCAATGTACGGCTGGATGGCTTTGATCACCGCGTCCCCAATGTTGTCCTGAAGTGGGAAGCCTGGGCCTCAAGAGGCTGCTTCTCAAGGGTGACAGGGGAGGGGCTCTGCCACGGGTGGGGCCTGCTGAGGGACACCCTGGCTTTTATGCCCTGTGCAGGCCTCAGTATAGATTATTTCTCCTGAAGGAACAACATAGCCCAGAAAGCCTGGCCAGAAAGGAAACTTCGGTTCCCAGGATTTTAGATAATATTATTAGGGAGGTCTTGGGACACTGTGGCAGCTTCAAGATTTCATAATACAGAAGGCTCCACTTAAAAGCTCATTTGAGGCCGGGCGTGGTAGCTCACGCCTGTAATCCCAGCACTTTGGGAGGCCGAGGTGGGCGGATCACGAGGTCAGGAGATAGAGACCTTCCTAGCTAACATGGTGAAACCCCATCTCTGCTCAAAATATAAAGAATTAGCTGGGCGTGGTGGCATGCACCTGTAGTCCCAACTACTCGAGAGGCTGAGGCAGGAGAATCATTTGAACCTGGGAAGTGGAGGTTGCAGTGAGCTGAGATCGCACCACTGTACTCCAGCCTGGGGGACAGAGCAAGACATTGTTTCAAAAAAAAAAAAATTAAAAAAGCTCATTTAAAGGCAAGAGCTACTTCCTGAAAGCAAGACCATCAGCAGGTATTGAGATGAGTGAGTGGTTCTGATGCCCAACCAGGCTCATGTTCAACCTCAAGAGCCTACCTTATGCCCTGGGGCTCTTGTCCCACCCAGGGAGAGTCCAGCCCTGTAGTTCATAATAGGCCCAGGTATTTGCATTGCTCATGAGTTCCCAAAGTTCAGAGCTTGGGCCCAGGGGAGCCTAAGCACTGGCTTGAGCACTCTTGGCTTGGGTGCTTCTCTCAGAGGGATTTGATTGGGCCTGTGGGGCCTCTAGTTTCCTGTCTGATGGGAGAGAAGGAGAGATGGAGTAGCCCATAAGGGGTCCAGATGCTACTGAAATGGGTGTGGGGTGTGCCCAGGGCCTGATACTGACACACAGTGGATGGTGGCCTGTGTGGGACAGGCAGCTGTCCCCTAGCTAATTTCTGGGCTATAGAGGAGCCCCCCCTCAAAGGGACTATGAGCTCCAGGCTACCTAGCCATGGCACAGCCCCTGAGAGAGCACATGCCCAAGAATACTGATGGCCCCAGATGGACAGAGAAACCCAGAGACTGGATGGCTGAGCCCCAAGTGCTGAGGCTGAGGGAGAGAGGGGATGACTGGGCAGATGGCAAAGGTCTTGGCCAAGGCCTGGGGGTTGCTGGGATGAGAGGGCATGAAAGACAATCTGCAGGCTGTGGAGCCTTGGAATGACCATGGGTGACATCCTATGGGGCACAGGAGCCTGTCCAGGTCCCAATTTCCTCAATACTCTTCTGTGGGTGGGTCTGTCACCTACCAGACTGAGAACGCCTTGGGGCCAGGCTCTGGTTCCAGCCATCTGCATGGCCCTTGGGGCCTTGTGTGGTGACGGTGGTGGGGAGATGGACAGAGAGAGATGGGACAGAGAGCCCTGCACATGCAGATGCTGTTGTTGGGGGCAGACTCCTCTCCAGCTTCACTGTCCTGCTGGTGGGCTCTGTCCTCACTCGCCGCCTGGGCAGGGTGCAGCATGCTCACCTTGTCAAACTTGAACAGGCTCTCGAGGAAGCGGCCCGGGTCCTGCAGCAGCCCCTTGCCGGGCTCCCAGTAGTCGTCCACCTTGGTGCCTGGTTTCTCTCCAGGCACTTTCTTGGGCTTGATGCCTTTCATGATACACACAGCTTCTATTACTAGCTTCACGCCCGGGGGTGGCCGCTGCATGGCACGTACCTGCAGGACCAGCCATCATGTGGGGAAGACCCACACTCAGTGGGCACCCCTGGACAGGGAACCTGCCAGAAAGGTTGGCCCTACCAACCAAGTCCCTACTACCACAGGACACATGCACACCCAGAGATCCACAGAGGTTGGCCTCAGCCCTCAGTTCCTCCTGCTCCCCCACCCAGGTACCCATGCTCCTACCTAGGCCCTGGGGACTGGAGTGAGGAGGGTGGGGCAGGCAGCTGGGTCCCAGGGGATGTGCAGAGGGAGGGCCTGAGGACCGGCATATGAGAGGGAATGCCAGGAGATGCCCTGCTGCTCACCTCAGTTACATCGTTCTTGTTGAGGTTGCGCAGGCTGGCCAGTGCCGCGTCCAGGGCTGGCAACGCCTCATCCAGGTCCTTCTGGGCGTCATCAGCAATAGCTTGTGCCTTCTTGGCCTTCTCGTTGGCTTTGATCTCCTCTGCCTGCACTGAATTCCGAGTCTCCTCGGCGATGGCCGTATCCACCTGGGGATGGGAGACACAGGCGTGTCCTCCTCCCTCCCTTTTCTCTTCTGAATCTGTCTCCCCAGATGGAAGGAAATGAGCGCTGGGGTGCCCTGTCCTCCAGAGGCCCACTAACTGTGACAGGCCAGAGAGGTCTGGGAATACCAGAAGCCCCTTTCACTTCCTGAGTGCTCACCATGCGCCTGGCATGTGGCTTGGGGACTTACAAGTTTGGATATAAATGCCCCACAGGCAGGGCCCCCTAAGGCACCTTCATGAAAGACAAAGACCCTCCTCCTGCCTTTCCTCCAGCTTCTTTCTATCTGCTGGGAAATTTTGCAGTGCACTGACTTTGCAGAGCAGGACACTTGACTATTCCTGCCAGAAAGCTGTCACGAGGAATATATAAACTGCAAAGTCTGCCGTGGGGATCAGGCCCTTCAACGCGGGGCCCTGTGCTGGGCAGAATCTGGGCTGTGGTTATTGGCATCATTTGGATTCCTCTGCCTTGCTTCTCGCTGACCCCCTGCCCAGTGCAGTGCCTGGTGTAGAAGAGCTCCTGGGCAGACATTCCATGACTAACAAATGGCTACTGACTGAGGAAGCTGGGGCACTCGGAGGCCAGACAACTTGCAGTGGCCAGGCAGCCAGCAAGCCTGCGCCTGTGTGGGGGTGCCGAGCTTCCTCAGACAGAGTCGGGCGTCAGGGAGGGGCCCGGGAGTACCCCAACCTTGATCTGCTCCATGGTGAGCATGGTGTCCTTGGCAGCCTCCTCCAGCAGGGGGTGCATAATCTCCAGCTCCTCCTGCATCTTGGCTATGTCCTCAGAAGTGCGCAGCAGCTGGGGGTTGGGGCACAGAGAGAAAAACAGGTGTGGCAGGGCACAGAGAGCGCACTGGGCCTGCTGGGCCGCCCTCATTCATGAGAGAGAGGCTGTGGCCAGCAGCTTCTGTGGCCCCCAGGTTGCCCAGCCGACCCCAGAGGAAGGGTGTCAGTCCCCCAAGAATCTGTGGGGTGCCCTGCTTTGGTCTGGCCCTTGACTGGAAACTTTTATTCTTTTGACAAGGAAGGAAGCCACCCACTTCAACATTGTGGGCTGCGGTTTGAAAGGCTGAGCGTGGTATCACCTGGCGTCAGGGCTGTGTGAGTGACCAGTCCGCAGGCAGCTGGCCTCATCCACAGGGTCTTGCTTGGGACCCACCTTGTCGAGGCCACTCTTCATGCGGTTCTTGGCAGTTTTCAGCTCCAGTTTCTTCTGCCCAATGAGGATGGAGAAAATATGAAGCAGCTCCAAGTAGCTCTTGGGGGTCACATAGTTGTGACGGGCCAGCTCTGCCAGGTACTCAGTGCACTTCTTGGACACTGACTGGTGGATGTACACACAGACCTGGATCTGGGGGAGGGAGACCACAGGTTCCGGCCTGGTGGAGGCCCCAGCAAAGACAGGGACTGGGTGCCCACAGCCACTGCAGCCTGGGCCGAGGAGGGGGCCACGGCAGGAACCTCCATGTCTCGCAGACTCACTCTGTGAGCCTTACGACTTCCAGGTCGAGGTCATCTTTTGTGCAGGTGAAAAACCCCAGGCCCAGGGAAGTCCAGGGGTTAGTTCAAGTTCACACAGCTGTCAAGGGCAGGGTTGGCTTTGAACTTGGACCCAGCTCTCTCCCAGCTCCTGGCCCAGTGTTCTTGTCACAGCCCCATGCCCTGCCTCTCTCTCTGAGAGGCCTGAGGTATTTCTGCTTCAGAGGCTGGATCTCGGGGGAGAGAGGGCCCAAGGCCTCAGCACAGCTGGGTAAGGAAATGTTGGGACTGTCACTGTCTCAGATTGGACCAGGCAAATCTACACCCCCACCTGTGGTCTCTGGAGTTCTTGGAAGAAAGCGTCATGAGGCCCCCAGGGAATAAGGGAAACAGTACCCGTGCAGCTGTGTGCCCAGCACCCTAGTCACTGTGATGACCTATGGCACTGCCCATTGACAAATGAGGAAACTGAGGCTTAGACAGGCAACACTGCCTGACCAAAAGCTTACCCTTGGTGGTGAGCCTGGGACTCTTACCCAGACCTTGGTCACCCTGAGCCCATGCCCCAAACCAGACAGTTCTCCCCAAGGGCTTGAGCTTCACCAAGACACCCACCAGTCCTTGGATTTCTTCATTGGAGGATTCTAGTTCTGGGATCTCATTGAGGAACATGGTGGCCACAGACTTCAGGGCCTCTGCCGGCCACTCATTAAACCAGTCGATGGTACAGCAGTTGACCAGGGAAGGAAACTGCCTCAGACGAGCTCGGAAGACCTCTCCAATAGGGCTGGGAAGCCGGGAATCCAAATGAGGTCCAGAGACACTGACTAGCGCCCCCATGAGCCCAGGATCTAGGGCCTTTACACAGCCCTGTGGCATGGCAGCCAGGACACAGCAGCACAGCAGCCTGGGCCTGATGGTATGATGGCCAGGCACAGGCCACGTCTCCTCATCTCGGGCCCCAGTGCATAGGCATACAGTGTCTCTGGGGCCAGCCCCTGCACACACCCGCCTCCGCTGCCCCGGCACAGCTCGGCGACCCCTGACTGTACCTCATGCACAGCACCATGTGGATGTTGCTGCGCACGCGCCCAGTGTAGGCAGCCATGAGGTTGGCCTTGGTGGGCTGCAGGCCCTGCTCTTGGATATAGGGCCGCATGGCACTGACGATCTGGTCCTGTTCATCCGCATTATAGAGGTTGGGAATGTCACCAGAATTCAGGACGTTGTTGATGTCCTCCAGGAAGGATTCGTTCTTGATCTGGGGAGGGGTGAAGGGTTGGGGAGCTAAGCCCCTGCATGTTGGACTCCGTGACCACAGTCTCATTGAACCTTCACAACAGCTCCATTTGACAGACTGTGCCACTATGGCTCAGAGAAGTCAGGGCTCACACAAGTGACCTCATCAGAGACTAGCCTGTAGCCATAGTCTAGGACTTGCATCCAGTGGGGACTCGCCCCCATGCAGAAGCTCTGAAAACCAATGGGCTGTGGCAGGACCCTGGGTCCTCAGTGGGGGATTTGGCATCTTCCTCTTCGCCCCTCTCCATGCCTCAGTTTACTCACAGGAGGAAATCATGGCCATGGGCAGAAAGAGGTCCTTGCCCATCTCATCCAGCCTGAGCCTGGCTTGTGTTAGAGGGCATCCTTCCTTTCCTGCCTCACACAGTGACTGTCTCGAAGGGAGCTCTGAGGTTGGGACAGGGCTGGGAGCAGAGGGGCCTTTGGTCCAGGGTGGGGCATATTCAGGGGCTTCAGGCTGGGCCCCTTGGCCCAACCCTGGACCACCAGCCAGGTTGAAGCCTGTTCTGTCTTGTGACCCCAGGCAACCTCTCAGAGGTCTAGGGAGAAGCCTCATGCCTAGGGAGCCCCAGAGGGAGCAGGGAAGCCATGGATCCCCAGCACTTTGGGGACAAGTCCTGTGGTCCTTGAGGTGGGACACCATTGGCCAATGAGTGGGGTGCTATGCTACCAGGGCCTTCTTTACCCTTGGGGAATGAGTGATGATCTATGCTCCATCTTAGCTCTGAGAGGTTGGGTTTGGCTTTGTGCTCTCAACCTGCCCATCTGTGGCCCTATCTGGTCCTGGTGGTCCCCCTGAGATCTGCCCTGACTGACAGTGAGCTGGGCGTGAAGGACTGACCACCTTCCGGGGTGCTACGCTCAGATGGGGCTGTGTCCAGTCCCCCTGGAGCCCTGCCCTCTGCTGTAGCGGTGGCACCTGGGTGTCTGAGAACAGGAAGGTGATGGGTAGGTTCTGCAGGCCCGCCTTGAGCAGGACCTTCTTGACATCCTCTCGCCATTCAGACATGCCGTAGTTCTTGGATAGTTCAATCTGGAAGCACTCATATTCGGCCCTAGAGGCAGAAGTTTGGGTTGAAGCACGCCAGGGGCTTGGGGCCAGGCGCTGAAGGGTGGCAGGTAGACACACCCTATCCCAATCACCTGGAGTCCTGCTCCCACCTGGGCAGACCTGCAGACCCTGTAGGTCCTGAGCCTATTCTTTTGCCTCCAGACCTTTGCCCAAGCTGTTCCTTCAGTCCTAACACCCTTACCTTCCATCCTTCCAGCTCTGATTCTGAGAGTGGCCTTGGCCCCTTCCCCTAGTAATCCCTCTGAGATGCTCGCAGTACACTTCCCTCCCCATGGTACTTCAGGGCACTGCTGCTGCCTCTCCTTGGAGCCTAGGTCCTGCTACCAGTCTTTCTAGAAGCTTGTGGGCTGCCCAGGCCTGCTTCAGGCTTGCCTCCACCACTGTGCAAAAGCATGGGTCTAACTGACCAGCCAGCCCCAGCCACCCACTGCCCAGCACGCCCCAGAGGTCCTCACATGTGCGAGGCGAGGCGTGTGAGGGAGCTGCGGCCACTGCCACCCACGCCCAACAGGAGTGCATTGCCCAGCGCCTGGCGCAGGGTACGGCTGATGCGGCAGATGTGGCTCATGGCATCCATGAAGAGGACCAGCTTCAGCTTGGCCGTGTTGATCTGGTTGTAGTCCTCCATGTACTCCTCGATCACCTGTGTCATCTGAGCACCAAGGCAGGGGTGGGGAAGGTGAGGTCTCTCTTACTGTAGGGTCTCCTGACTCCCCCTCCCTGACCCTACCACCTTCTTTTCTGTCCTGACCGAGAAGCACAGGGTGCCTTGACTGCTCTGTGACCCGGCCAGCTGCATGTTTCTCCTGTAGGCTTGAGCCCAAGCTGAACATTCCCAGACACTGATAAACTTGCTTAGGTTGTTGCTCAAAACACTGAGGGACTGGCCTAGAGCAGTGGCTCTTTCGAGTAATCCTGTAATCCCAGCACTTGGGAAGCCAAGGTGTGAGGATCACTGGAGTACAGGAGTTCAAGACCAGCCTGGGCTACATGGAGAAACTCTAGCTCTACCAAAAAAATATAAAAATTAGCTGGGCATGGTGGCATGTGCCTGTGGTCCCAGCTGCTGGGGAGGCTGAGGTGGGACGATTGATAGAACGCATGAGGTGGAGGCTGCAGTGAGTCAAGTTCATGCCACTGCCCTCCAGCCTGGGCGACAGAGCAAGACCCAGTCACACACACACACACACACACACACGCCCCACTGAGGGATCAATCATGTTGTCAGACACGTAGAAGCTGGCCCCTAGCCCACCCAAATTCCTTCAGCCCGCATGTGAATGCCATAACTCATATGACCTCCTCATCACAGACATACTGAGCTACGAGAACATCTCTGCTCTCCCCTGTATGATTCCCCTAATAATGCTCAGGACTGATTACCATGGCGTGTAGTGCTTCTTTCTTTGGAATCTCAACCAGTCCAATCTAGTCATGGCTTGGGGCAGTCCCTTGTGGGAACCTGCTTGCTGCCACTTTTGGGGCAACTCCAGCCATGGGCTCGGCTGATCAGAACATCGTGTACCTCCCTCCCCTGATGGGGAGCTTGCCCGCCATGGCATACCCTGCTCCTCCTGTGCATTGGGGGGACACTGGGCCTTAAGAAGCCAGGTCCACCTGCACGAGGCCTGACCCAGGGACACATGGAGGCCTGAGAGTCAGGTCAGAGCCCTGCTTGCTCCTTTTGGAGCTCACCAGCTATGCTGGCCCTGGGTCCCTGGCGGGAGCTCTGGTAACTAGGAGAGGATGCATGTGGAGAGAAACTGTCAGGAGGCCTGCTTCAGCCATGCAGCTCTCGGGCCACCAAGTCAGTCCTCTTCCCTGCCTCCCTGGGGTCCTGACTGAGACCCGTGGCCCCAGGCCCCTCCCTTGGCCCCCTGTGGAGGGATGACTGCCCCTGTGTCTAGAGCCTGTCTCAGCTGGACCACAGGCTGGTCGTCAGAGACAGGCGAAGAAACTGGTACCCAGAAAGAGCACGAGTATGCCAGGAGTCTCCTGGAGCTGGCCTTCTTACCCCACGTCCTGGCCCTCTGGGTGTAGTGTGGCGGTGTGTTAGTGGTGACTGCAGGGGCCTGGGCCCCAGGGGGCAGATTGAAGAGGAATTCACCAGGGGTAGGGCGCCTACCTGGGCCCCTCACCTTACTCTCGCTGGTGATGAGTTCGTAGGACTTGACATCGGAGCCTGGTGACATGAAGTCCCCATAAAGGATGGGCTGGAAGGGGCAGACCTGGTTGAAGGTCACCTCCCACTGCTCCATGCAGCGCTTGAGGAGCTGGTCAAACCATCTGCGGTCCTCCTCATTCACCAGTCGGTCGCGGAACACGCGGCAGTCCTCGTGATACCACAGTCGCAGCAGCTGCACTTTGTCCTGCGGTAGCCCCAGCATCGGTGCCTGTCCTTGGTCCCCGGGCCCTCAGCCATCTCGCAAAGCAGCAGGCATGGGAGGGTGGGCGTGGCTCTCCCACCATGCCCCAGCCACCGTGTGCGGGGGCTGCTGGCAGGTGCAACTGCTGGCCAGCTGAGGATAGGATGGATGGCACAGTGCCACCTGGGCCTCCTCATTCCCAGCTCCAAGTCCAGCTGGCCAAGTGCCCTGTGGGCATCCGGCTCTGCTAGCTGGTCGCAAGCATCTCAAAGTCATCACTTCCATCTTTTAGACCCTGTGCTCCCCTCACCCCAAGCCTAGGAGGGATGCTTGATGCTCCTAACACCTTCCCAACACCCCAAATCTAACCACTCAGCAGGCCACACTGACATGACCCACAAACCTCCTCTGAACCTGGCCCCTCTCTCCATCTCTGCTGCCGCCTCTGTCCCAGCTTCCCCGCACCTCCCTGGGGGGCAGGACCCCCCTGTGGAAGCCCCCAGTCTTTTCTGTAGACTTGATTGGCTACAGGGGTGGTTATAAGGCGAGGGCCAGCTTCTGTCCTGCTCACCCCATCTCTTCAGCTGTGGGCCCCACACACACTGACTGCTCAGTCTCATTCCAAAGTGCAGATCTGTCTCCCGCCTGCCCCCAAGGCTCCCCATTACACCCTCAGGATAAATGTAAGCTCCATGCTGGTCTGCCCACTGCGCCTAGCACCTGGTCCCACCTCTACCAGTGCCCCTGACACCTGGTTCCCTGCTACACTTCCTCCTCCTTCCACCTGAGTGTTCTGGGTTCCCAGAGGACACTCTGCTCCCTGTGCCTCACATGTTCTCATGTGCAGGCCCACCGGAAGCCTCCCTTCTCCGTCACCTTGCCTTGGCTCCCGTGTGCAACCCCCATCTCACTCAGCACTCCCGACATGGGTTTAACCCACAAGACTGGGCTCAGGTGTACCAAGGCTGAGCTCTGGAAGGCCTGGCACCCCCGTGTGCCAGGAGGCCCCACTCAGGACCTGTTTGAGCAGGAAGCCCTGGACTCCATGGGGCTGGGGAGGATGGCAAGACAGTGTAGGCACTGGGGAGGGTGCCTGCCCGGTCCTCACCTCGACCTTGGCCGGGTCAGCCATGAGCATGCCTTGGAAGACCTTGGAGAGGTCCCTCAGGTTGAAGGTGTAGTGGGACTTGGCTGGAGTGGGCAGCAGCTGAGAGGTGATGGTGGCATACACTGTGATGGTGGCTTCCACAAGGGGCTCCGTGAGGTGGGCAATGTGGGGGGCCCCGGCTAGGGGAATAGGAGAGTGGCCTGGGTCACACAGCCGGGAGCTCCCTCTGCAGCCTCTGCAGGTCCTGACCTCCTTGCCTTTGCTGTGCTGTGCCCCCCACTAAGAGCCTCCCCCAGCCTGCAGGCTTGGATTCTATGTACCCTTTGGCCCCGATTCAGATGCCCCCAGCTTGGGGGAGATGAAGGATCTCCCACTCTGCACCCCCTTATATCTTTATACTGACATGGCCTATTGGAGCACTGGGACTCATCATGGAATTGGGGGCGCTCATGGGGTCAGTGCTGAGTGGGGCCATTACTGCCTTGTCCTGTGGAGGCTGTGCCCAGACTTGAACATTCCACCTCTGAGCCACATGTGGAGAGGGTTTCATGGTCCACACAGGCCTCAGGATGCCTAAGTGGGGGAGGCCTGGAGGGCTCGCTGACCTTAAGGGCTCACCACCCACTTCAGGGCTGGCTACCCCCAGCCTGCATTTTCACCACTCACACATTTACTGGCCTGTTCTTTGAAAACTATCCAATTCTGTGCTGGGAACCCAAATTCTGTCAGTGGAAACTTGGTGAAGTGGAAAAAATGGAAAGAAAGGGCAGGAGAGGGCTTGTTTTGTTGACACAGGCACCAAGCACAGAGTGACCCAAACTGACACACTCGTCACCCTCAACAAGCAGACTTTCTTGTGGGGAAGGGTGACAATGAGCTATCAGCAAGTAACGAAGACAGCCAACAGGCAGCAGGGGCTACGGGCAGCCCTGCAGCAGGACAGGGGCCAGGGGAGGGCCAGAGTTGGGCTTGGGGGCGATTTTATAGGAGCGCTTGGGGAGGCCTCGCTGAGGAAGGGGCCAGTCAAGCAGAGAAGTGAGATGCAAGCTCGCACATAACTGGGGAAAAATTGTTCCAGGAAGAGGGGACAGCAGGGCAAAGGCCCGGAGGTGGGGGCAGGCCCATCAGGTTAAGGACCAGCAATGAGGCAGTGAGCGGGAGACGGTGAGATCAGAGGGCCGTGGGGGGCCTGAAGATGGCTTTGCCTGCCACTGTCAGGGCCCGGGCTCTTGCCTGAATGAGATGGGTGAGAGAGGAGGACTGTGGCCTGGTGGGATGTTTTCATGGGTCCCTGCGGCCGCAAGCAGAGGATAGACCTCAGGCAGGTGAAGGCAGCCGCCTGGACACCATGGTGGGGCTGCAGCACTGGCCAGGTGGGCGAGAATGGGGTGGTGAGCAGTGGCTGATTGGGATGGGTTCTCAAGGGAGAGCCCCTGGGACCTCCTGACAGGTGAGCTGTGGGTGAGGGAAGGGGGATGCAGGATAGCGCCAGGGCTCTGTCTTGCTGGGAGCACCTGGAAGGATGGTGCTGCCAGCACCTGAGATGAGGAGTGCAGGGCACTCAGGAGTTGGATCTATCAGGTTCAGCCTGAGACGGCCTGTGGACAGGTGTGGAGTCAGGCGTTCAGGGGACACGGCTGCGCTAAGGACATGGACTTGGGAGTTGCCAGCACAAAGATGGTTTTTCCCCATCAGAGGCGGATGGGACTGTCTGAAGGCAGTGTGGTTGGAGGGAGAAGAGGCTGGAGACCAAGCCCCAGTCCCTCTGAGAATGGGAGACCAGGGACCGGGCAGGCCTGAGAGAAGCCTGCTGCAGGAAAGGGTCATCTGCCTGCCAGCACTACGGATGCCCGGGAAGGTGAGGAAAAGGTCTGAGCACTGATCTGGCCACACAAGACTGCTGGTGACAAGAGTACTCTCAGCGGGTGAGGGGGCATTCATAGGAAAGTAGGAGGTGAGCGCGGGCACAACAGGAAGAGATAACACTTTGGAGGTGTTTTGCTATCAAGGTGAGCAGAGAGGCAGAGACGGCCCGGGGCAGGTGGGAAGGGGGCCCAGAGAGGCTGTTTTGCATTTGTGGTTAAGATGGAGAATGGGGCCTGTTTGTGGAAGGCCAAATGGAGAAGGGAGCGCTGGTGTCGGCAGGGAGGAGCCACAGGAGGGAAGGCAGGGCCCCAAGGGCTGGATGCAGGTAAGCAGGTGGGTGTGGACCCAAAAGGGAGCTGTCTTCCGAAGGCCTCTTTCAGCTGAGGGCAGGGGGAGGAGGTGAGCCTGGGCAAGGACAGTGACTGAAGTGGTCAGCCACCCTGCTGCATCAACGGGCAGATTCACCACAATGCCTGCCCCACACAAACCTCCTCCAGCTTTCCAGCACACACCTGCTCCTTCGAGTCCTGTTCTTCACACACAGTGGGAGTTTGCTGGAGTCCCTTATTCATGCATTCATTTTGCATTTAATTTGCACCTATCAGCTAGACACTAACACAGGCATGGAAGGGCCAGCTGACTATAAGAATGGCTGAATGTGCCTACGGGGCAGCCAGTGCCTATGTCAGCCTTCGCTCTGCCACCCAGTGGCCCAAGGTCCCTGCATGAGCCGGAGGATGTTTCACCATGGCGCCTGGTCCCAGCCTCAACACACCCAACTAGAGCCCAGAGCACACGCTGGAACCAGTGCCCCTTCCCACCCAGGCCCTCCTGGGCCCCTGCCCAGGCCCACACTTACGTGCAGGCTCCCGGTAGCTTTTTTCTCCAAGGAGTCCAGCTAGGGGGTGGAGGGAGGGACACAGGCTTGGGATTAGGCGGACCTCTTGCTGCTCATCCTGGCCTGGGAAGCTCCCAAAGCAGCCACTTGCCACTCCCCAACCCCTCTCAGAGCAGCGTTTCCCCACTTCCAAGCTGGACATGCAGGTAGGTCCTGCCTAAGCCCCTGGAGGCAGGGCAGGGCAGGCCAGAGGGCAGGAGGCCTGAGCTCCATCACCCACCATCTGGCACATGCCAAGCAGAGTTCAAAAGTCAGTGTGCATTGGGAGGGAGGGAGGATGGGGGGGAAACAGCATCTTGGGGTAAGCTTTTCCCCAAACCCTGTAAAGGATCAGAGACACTCTGTCCATCCTATCTTGTGGCTTTTCCTGATTTCCAAAGCAACATGCCTCCACCAGAGTTTCTGGGCAAGTACTAATGTATATGTATGTTCGTATGTGGGTGAGCGCATATGTGTGTATCATACATCCGGCAATCACCATGTGCCAGGCTTCATGCTAGCTGCACTACATGCAATATCACACTTAACCCTCACGACTTGGAATGGTAGGTACAGGTGAAGAAACAGGCTCAGAGAGATTCATGAACTGCCAGAGGTCAACTTTCTGGTGGCCACTAACTGTCCTTGTTGTGGTCTCCCTGGCCTGGGCTTCTGCCTTTGTCTGTGCCACCCGCACCAACACTCACCCATCCAGTTGCCCAGGATGGTGGAGAAGATGCGTTTCTTGCTGACCTCATCCATCTCGGTGAAAGACAGGTAGTTGAAGTGACGCGTCAGCCGAGGGGTGACATTGTTCCTCCCTCCACCCGGGGGGCCCATGGCGCAGACAAAGTTGATGTCCACTAGGTTCTTGAAGGTGCCTGGAATAGGGGCAGGAAGTCAGGAAGGGCCCTGGCCAGGGCTGCATGATGACCTCGTGGCCCCTTCTCCATATAAAAATTCAAAATTATACTTTACAGCAGTATTGGAATAAAGAAAAAACATCAATATTACACATGAAAATTTGTCTTTGTCCTAAAAGTTCATCCTCCTCCCCTTTAATTTTAAGAGAAATTAAAACATGTTTGTGGGTGCCTTAAAATACTGTAGGTCTTCAGCGCTACCCCTCCTGTGCCCCGGCACAGCACGCCCAGCCCTTGCCCCGTGAGCCAGGCCGGCCATACTCACCGATGACCTTGCGGTCGTACCAGCCGCCGTGGTCCATCCACTGACGCAACAGCTCGATAGGTGGCTGTGCGCCATACGTCTCCAGGGCTGGCATGTTCAGGTCATCAATGAAGAAGATAAAGTTGCGCCCCAGAGGTGGCCCAAACACACCTTTCCGCCTGAGGGGAGGGGCTGGGTGAGCCCAGCACCCACAGGCACCAGGTCCTCTGAGAACCCAGGGGCAATGGGGTGGCAGCTCTGCCTCTGGGAAGCTCTTGCTAAATTTCAGCCTCCTCCTAATTGCTAGATGTCTTGACCCACCCTCCGCCTTGTTCTGAGTGTCCTGGGACAACTGGGACTGGCTGACCTGAGTCTGAGCTCCCTCAAAGTGAATCTTTCCTCCCAGGCAGACGGAGAACAGGCTTCTCACAGATAGACCCAGGGCCCTGCCCGAGGTCCCAGCCAGGGAGACCACCCGCCCGCTAACCGGCTCAAATAATTTGGTGGAGAGGTGAGACAGCAGCTGGGTGGGCCAGGCTAGGGGGATGCGGGGCTGAGAAGGAGGGTGGAGGTGCCCTGCCTCTTGTCCAGCTTGCTGTCGATGAGGTCCTGGGTCTGGTTGGCTGAAGTGCGGGCTGAGAAGGTGAGAAAGTGGCTGACATACTCCAGCGCCAGGTTCTTGAGGAGCTTGTTGGAGATGGTGAGCGTCTTCCCAGTGCCTGTTGGCCCAATGCACAGTACCTGGCAGAGTGGGGAGGGCACAGAAGGAGCCTGCAGTGGGCCGGGTGCACAGGAGGAGCTGCCCTCAAGTCAGTATGGGAGGCTGGCCAACCCCCGCATGGGCCTTGGGGAGGGCAGAGGCAGGTCCTGGGGGCACTCACGGGCTTCTTATTGGTGAGCAGCTTGTCCAGCAGGTAGGACATCTGCACAGTGTCCATGGTAGGCACAATGATGTTGCAGTAGCTGGTGTCTGGTACTATGGTGAATGGCGCTGAGGAGTCCATCCACTTCACCCAGGCAACCTGGAACCACAGGTGGCTCAGTGGTGGGCCTGGAACCCCTCCCTGCCCCACTCCTGGCTGCAACCCTATGGCCAAGGGTGGCAGGGCCAGGAGCTGCACTGCTGGGCTTTGGCAAGAGGGTCCAGGTGCAGGGCTGCTTCCGGCGGAAATGGAAAGTCCTGTGCCCTGCCTTCTGCATGGGGAGGGGGATGCAGAAAGGAGGGCAAAGGCCAAGAATAAGGGACTCTGAGCACAGCTGCATAGAAGGGGTCTCCCTGAATGCAGCTGCCCAGGTTGGGGGCTCCCTAAGGACTGCCAGGCCCTGCGTCTCTGCAGAAAGGAGACGCTCTGGGAATTGAACAACCCAGAATGCAAAGGTGTTTGCTGCTTAGTTTCAGGCTACACAAGAAATGTGGGGGCCAGAACCATGGGCGCTGGTGTTGGCTGGAAGCCAAGAGGCTGCTGGGTCCAACACCATCCCTGCCTTCAGAAATCCCTCCACTCACAGCCAGCCCTGACCCAGCTTGCAGACGTCCCCGGATGGGGGCCCACTGTGGCCAAACCAACACATCCCATGGGCACAGTCCTAACCATTAGACCCAAATGTGCCCTGGGACCCCCCAGCAGGATCCTGCACAGTAATGGACAGCTCTCTGCAGATGCCTTTCCACCTCTGTCCTCCTGGGCTAGGGTCTTGACCTTGGGATGAGGGTGGGCTCCTGGAGCCCTTGCTAGCTGATAGTGGGAATGAGGACACTGAAGCAGGCATCAAGAGCTTGCCCCCCAACCCTGGGGAGCCCAGGCTCTGGGAAAATGGGGCTTTTAAGTGGAACTGGAGTGGCCAATCCCTGGGCTCAGCAACAATGTGGAAGAAGCAGTGTGTATGGCTGGTAAGGGAGGTACTCAGAAGTCTCCCCTCAGCCCAGCCCCAGGTTCAAGTACAGCTCTGCCACATCTGGAAAACAAGCACAGTAATAACCACTCTGCAAGGCCATGAGGATTCATGAGATGATGCGTATAATCCCGCCTGAGACCTGGTGGCCATCAACATGACTGCTCCCTCTGGCCATAATTCATTGCGGGAACAGCTGCCACCCAGTGGTCCCTCCCTGTGCAGTCTCTGGGATGGGCCTGTGGCCACCTGCTTGTGCTCCTCCTCTTCATCCTCATCCTCGTCGGTGCCGCTGATGCCCGCGTCCTCCAGCCTGTAATCGAACACCAGCCCTTCTTCTGGGAAGAGCAGAGTCAGCTGCCAGGAACGAGGAGGAGAAGCAGGCTGTGAGACCCAGTAGCACTGAGGCTCCCCCTCCCGGGGGGCTGCAGCCTCTCACCTGTTCATTCTCCATCTTGAACCTTAGCCAGTGGCTGAAGCTGGCGCGGCCATTGCTGTCCCCAGTGGCACCTACGCTCCAGATCAGGGAGAAGATGAACCAGGGCTCGATCAACTCTACGACGCGACTCAGCTTTTCAGAGGGTATTTTCTTGAGGCCCTGGGGATAGAGGGAACAGTATCAGGAATAGTATCGACGCCTGAGGAAGTGGGGCTGGGGCATATCTTGACCTCTGCCACACAGCTTTGTTTCTCTACAGCCAATTGGGCAGGTGGTCTGGTGAGCCACGTTGCACCAATCCAAGTCTCTCTTCCAGGCCCTGGAGAGCAAGGATAATGGTGGGCGTAGAGGGACCAGATGCATCCAGCCTCACTCTCAGGGCTATACCTCTCTAGGCAGAAAGGGCTTGAAGAAGCAGTCCAGCAGCTTCAGGAGGCTCATGGTGAGGTTGCCATTGGTCGAGGTGATCACCTCCTTCACTGAGGACCGAACGAAGGAGATGGATTCCTGCAGGGAGCAGGCACCCAGTTCTCATGGCGGGTGGCCACAGGGCCCTGCTGCCCCGCCAGGGTCAGACATACCCATGGCCTCACTCACCTCCAGGAAGCTGACAAAGAGGACCTGGAAATGCTCCTCGTAGGGCTTCAGCAATGGGGGCAGCTTCCTTAGCCAGCACTCGACGAAGGGCATGAGCCCCAGGATGCTGGGCTCCAGGTACACCATACCACAGCGGGAGACCGTGGCTGGCGAGGCCACTGCCAGGTCTTGCACCTCAAACATCATGGTCATTGCCTGGTTCCAAGATGAATGGCATGAGTGGACTGGCTGCCAGTCCCCAGGCCTGGAGAAAGGGCTGCAGGGCTGTGGGGAGGGGCTGCACATCCTGCAAGTGGGAGGTGTGGGTAGGCTGTGGGGCAGTGGCAGTGCTGGGTGGGATGCAGGAACCGCTGGGTCCTCAGCTGATAATGCGGCTCTCCCTGGAGCCCTGAGGAAGATCCCAGGTCAGGAGATTCCTGGGCTTCGCTGGCCAGACTGGGGTCAGGGCATTTTGGGGTCCCTGGAGGCCTGGGGACATCTGATGGAAACTGTGTATTTTGCTCCAGAACCCCCCACCCCTGTGCACATGGACACAGGTCCACACTGGCTGCCAGGTATTTGCTCTTAGAAGGATTCAAGAGCTGGACTCAGTGTAGACGCGTGAGCTGCTCTTGAGCCCAGGCCACAGCCCTCTTTCTCTGACAACTGCCCCTCACACACCAGGCAGGTCCCCGTGGTGGTCTATACCACCCATCCCCCAGACCCCGGGCATACTACCAGGGCCAGGCACACACCTGACCCAATGGGGAGACATGGCTGAAAGTGGGCCTGGGAGGCAAGAGGCACCCTCAGCCAGGGAGCAGTGTGGCAGTCATCCTCATGGGCTCAGAGCACAACAGAAAGAAGTTCTGGGCTGGGTGGTGGCTCACGCCTATAATCCCAGCACTTTGGGAGGCCAAGGCGTGCAGATCACAAGGTCAAGAGATTGAGACCATCCTGGCCATCATGGTGAAACCCCGTCTCTACTAAAAATACAAAAATTAGCTGGGCATGGTAGTGTGTGCTTGTAGTCCCTGCTGCTCGGGAGGCTGAGGCAGGAGAATCGCTTGAACCCAGGAGTTGGAGGTTGCAGTGAGCAGAGATTGTGCTACTGCACTCCAACCTGGCACCTGGTGACAAAGCAAGACTCTGTTTCAATAAAAGAAAGAAAGAAAGAAGAAGATCTGTGTAAAGGGTGCTCTGAGCAACAGTGCGGGACATCCTGAGGTGCAGGAGCTCAGGCCAGGGAGGGGCACTGGGAGCTAAGCCTAAGCTCCTGCTGAGTCATAGTGACAGCCTGAGATGCACCCATGGCCCTGAGAGACAGGAGTGAGAAGGCAGAGCCTGGCCAGCGTGGTGCAGCCTCCAGGCCCACCCAGCCTTGGAGGAGAGGAGAGTGGGCAGGCAGACAAGTGGGCGCACCTCCGTGAGCTTGATGATCTCCCCGGAGCTGAGGCACAGCTTCTTGTTGTCGTCTAGCACTGTGTTCATGTTCTCAATCCAGACAGCGTCCACTGGCCCATCAAACATGTACCACTTCTTGTTCGTGTCGGAGGCGATGGCCCCCACCCGGATGAGTGAGGAGAAAATCCCATCTGTCCTGCAGCGCCAGGGAGGAGAGGGCTGGAGACACCAGGGAGGCAGTACTTCCCACACAGCTGGCTCCCAGGGAAGCCTGGCCGCCGGGTGGGCCAGCTCTGCTTTACGTTTCCCTACAATATCTTTGCTCTTTTAAAAATTGTAATATCCCAGCACTTTGGGAGGCCGAGGCGGGTGGATCACGAGGTCAAGAGATCGAGACCATCCTGGTCAACATGGTGAAACCCCGTCTCTACTAAAAATACAAAACATTAGCTGGGCATGGTGGTGTGTGCCTATAATCCCAGCTACTCAGGAGGCTGAGGCAGGAGAATTGCCTGAACCCAGGAGGCGGAGGTTGCGGTGAGCCGAGATTTCGCCATTGCACTCCAGCCTGGGTAACATGAGTGAAACTCCGTCTCAAAAAAAAAAAAAAAAAAAAAAAATTGTAATAGTGGTACTCAGAGACCAGACCAAAAATAAAAATAAAAATTATAATAGGAAAAATGTGACTGTTTGGTCACACGGTGTAATGAAAATATGTGCTTATGTCCCTGCCCTGCTGAATCCCTGCTGAAGCCCCATTAAAGGTGAAATTCCAACAGGAAAAAGGGAGCAGGGGAGGAGGCCACAGCAGAGATGGAGGCAGCGTAGCCCTGGGAGACAGTGGACAGGATGGAGGAAGGTAAATGGTAGGTAGGGCAGAGAAGGCAGCGTGATGAGAAGTGGCCAGATCCTGCCTCAGCAGAACCAGGGGTGGGGGGGGGACCTGCGGGGAGGGGCGCTCAGACCTCAGACCTCAGAGGCAGCACATGCCACCAGGTAAGGGGCCAGGAGGGCTGAAAAATATGCTCTGCTGGGCCCAGACTTAGGCTCCCGAGCCTTCTCCTAGGCCCACAGGCACACTTCCTTGTAAAATCCACTTTCCACAAAAAACCCTGAGAAGTCAGTTTGGCCAGAATCCTTGATATCTGATCACTCTTGAGGCTCCTCCCCTGCACACCCCCAGGTAACAGGTCTGGTTACCCAGAGGCCCGTCTTCAGTTGGAATCCTGTTAGGCTGATTTAGCTGGAATCTCCCCCATCCCTGATGTTTCCTCTGGATTTTCTACCTACTGACGCTCACCCTGCCCCTTGACTAGAGATTCCCACTTGCCCACGTTGTATTCAGAGACCAATCTCTCCCCACAACTACAAGGCCCCAGTGCAATGGTCCCTGTGCCTGTCATGCTCCTGAATACATTCTTCCTTGGCATGCTTTAAAAAGAATGCGGGAAGTAGAAAATTTCCTTTTTAAAGTTTCCTTTCTTATTAAAGAATAAGTGTGCTGACAACTTTGTTAAGCCCTATCCTATGTAGCTGTTAGACATGCCTTGCTTACAGGCACACAGTGCATTCTATGTCCTTGTATTTTAACCAAGATATCTGTGCTGGACATGATTACAGGCATGTCCCAGCTCTCCATTGCTTTTGCCTGTTTAAAAAAGTTTTCGGTTATTAGCCAATCGGGTTTTAGTTTAGATTGTGAGGTCTGATTCCAGCCAATGGAGATCAGACACAGCAGTAAGGATAACCCCAAATGCGTAGGGAATAAATTTTTTTGTTTTCCTTTGTTCATCGTACTCTTCTGGCACGATGACGTGGCATGATGGCTAGTTAGAGTACCCTTCCTGCAGCCCAGGAAGTAAAAATTGTGTTGCTGAAAGATCCTTTGTCTCAGTGCTAATTTTTCTTTGTGGCACGGAGCATCTATTTCCAACAAAGAATCATTGAATATATATATTTTTCTTTAATAGGGGACATTTTTCTGGTCTGACCCCCAGGCTCCCCACCTACCTACATAAGAGACTGGAGTGGATATGGGGGAGAATCTGCACCAGAAATGGGAGAAGCAGTATAGGTCCACATTGTGGAAGGTGGGAGACTGTCCCTTCCCAGTGACCATCCCCTACAGGGCTCCCAGAACACTGGCACCAAGCAGACACCCCTAGCAGAGAACTGGAGACTCTTCTCTGGAGAAACAGACTAGCCTTAGAGAAAAGCCCCTCAGGCGCTGATGTTGCAGCAGTCTCCTTCCATCTGCCCTTCTCACATCTCAGCGCACTTCCCCTAAACTACAAACTCTGGCCTGGGAGCAGGGGCCCGGAGAGGGCCCACCAGCTTCTCTCAGGTCATGACAGCCACCAGATACTTCTGAGGCACCCAGCACATTAAGTCATTCTCACCTTATCATAATCATGGTGCCATTATTGTTCCCACTTTGCAGAGAGGGAACCATGGCCTGAGGGGTGAGGAGGATCACTCAGTGAGGAAGTAGAATGGAGAAAAGAATCCCAGGCATGGGGCTGCAGAACTCAGCCTTCCACCGGGCTGACGGAAGGAGGGGTGTCCGTGGCCCACAGCCTCCAGAGCTGGGCATCACTGGCGGGGCTAGGGAGTTACTCACCACTCATGGGTGAGCAGGTCAAACTCCCCGTACAGCTGACCCATTGTGATGGACTTGGGGTTGAGAACGTAGTAACTGACAGCCTCATAGACGCCACCACTGATGGATGGCTGCCCTTTCAGTGACGTCATGGCAGCTGCCAGGACTCTGTAACACTGGGGAGATGGACTGCCTGAGAGTGAGCCTCTGGGCTCCCAGAGAGTGGGCTGGGGACCATGGGGAGGGGGAGGGGTATTATACAGGCCGAGGGGCACAAATGGTGTCCAACCGCTGTTGAAGCCGCACCCCCCCAAAGGCCCACTGTCTGGGCACTGGCTGCCAAGCTTAGCTCTGCTTACAGTACTCTTCCCGGAGCCTGTGGGGCCGACAAGCATGAGGCCATGCCGCACCACTGTGGTCTCGTAGAGCTGGATGCACTTGGTCAGGAAGCCTGCGGGACATGGCAGGCGGCCCAAGGGTCAGAGCGTGGGCTTGAGTTCTGGTCACACCACTAGCTTGTGTGACCTTGAGTGAGTCACCACACTCCCTGAACCTCAATTTCCTCATCTATAAAATGAGGGCAGTGGTAGCACCTACATCATAGGCAGGGGCAGGTGAAGCCTGAAGCACAGAACTTGGCACAGAGTAGAAACTCTGTACATGCCAGCCGTTATCTCCACTGTGACCACCATTCCTTCATAGCCATTGGTCAGGTGGCCAGCCACCACCAGCTTGCTCAGTGCCGGTTGTCACAGGCCCCAATGTCAGCCCCAGCCTGCTTAGAGCACCACCCCAAGTGCATGCTGGCTTCTATGGGCAAACTCCAAGGAACAAGATCTATAGAGATAGCTGCCAGCAGGCAGGGGCCAGGCCCACAGGGGTAGGGAATAAGTGCCTCACTTTGGCCCAAGAAGGGTGGTGGTGGCTATGGCCCTGCAGGTCTGGCAGTCCTTGCCAAAGGGACAGGGGCCAGTTAGCCAGGGCCGGCGAAGCTGACCTAAGGATGTGAGGGAAAGAGTTTGAGGCTTTATTCAACAAGCCTGCTGGGGCCTGGGGTGAGGAGGTGACCAGAGAAGGAAGCATTCAAGCTGCACGTAGAATTGAAGCGCAATGCAAGGCACCGGGAAGAGGCCTTGCAGGGCTGAGCAGGAGCAGGTCAACTGCCTGGAGCTCAGAGGAGGGCCCTGTGTGGCCAGGGTGACTGGGCATGGCTTCCTAGAGGAGCTCCTCCCACAACCCCACCAAAGGACCAGCTGGAGGGGGTGGCCCAGCTGGGAATGAACTGAGACCCTCATCCTACTACGAGGGGCAAGGGTTCAGGGTGAGAGGGAGTGTATTTGAGGGCAGTGTCCCCCACAGCCCTCCCAGGCACACGGTGGCCTTTGCAACAAGTCAGTGAAGAAAGGGCCCAGATGTTTTTTCTTTAGCACAATGGCACCAGGGGTGTCACTTGACAAGGAACACGGGCAAGTCCTCCAAGGGGGATGGAGCCAAGAGGCCCCTGGAAGAGGGGAGCGGTGGCTGTGGTGAGGTGGGCTGGGGTGTGAGGAACACGGCCTTGAAGCTCCAGTCACACACCACTGAGGGTCAGGGCCTGATGAAGCAAGGCCCAAGAAGAGCCCAGGGCTCTCAGCCCACGCGGGAAGGAGGGCTCGGGGAGGGGACTGCGCCTGGTTCCCCACCACCAGGTGGATTCTGATGGAGACCCGGCCGGACACCCACCCTGCCCCTGAATTGCTTGGCTGAGAGCCCGGGCTGCAGCGTGCTTGGCCAGGTATAAGGGCCCTGGGGCTGGACTGTCCTGTCTCTATCTTCCTGACCTGGACTCCAAGGTGGCCAGGGCCAGCCCCTCTGCAAACGCCCAGGACCCGAGGCTCACCCTCCACATCCTTGAGGCTGCTCTTTCTGCAGGCCTCTCGGATGGCCTTGTCCAGGATGCCGTAGTCTGTGTCCTCCTCCTTGATGGTGGGAAACAGGTCAGACACGATCCCAGAGAAGAGCTTGAGGTCATCCTGCAGGAACTTGGGCACGTTCACATCGCGGATGGCCCGGAGGCAGATCAGCTCCTACAGCAGGTGCCGACCGAGCCTTCAGGGCGGATGGGCCAGCCGCCCTCTAGCTGCCCAGGAGCCCTCCCGGAGTTCCACTTCCGGAGCCCTGCTGGGTGGAGCTCACCTCATTCATGCTGGGGTTTTCTCGCTTGAGGTTCCCAGCAGCCGAGATCACAGTCTTCACGGCTCTCATCCCGAAGTCATAGTGATCCTGTTGCCGTACAGAAGGAGGTGTGGGTGAGCACTATCCCTCTCTGGGGCTTCTGCCTGGAATACTCTGCCTCCCACCTGGCAGCTGGCCAGGTCTCATCACCAGCTCACAGCACTTCCCTTGCAGACTCTCAGGGACCACCTACATGCCTAGCCTGGGCAGTGCACCTTCTTTGGGCTCCTGGGGCTTTACTGTCCTGATAGCCCTCTCCTTTACCCCATACCCATCCTGCATCCTTTGGTCACGGTCCCAGCACATGGCCAAGGGCAGGAAGGCACTCTAGTTGTGTTGGAAAAGTGAATGAAGGAGTTTCCCATCTGTGCAACAATCAGCTTGGCCTCGGTGGCCCTTGAGCTTCCTTCTAACATTCTCCCATAATCTCTCTCCAGACCCATCTTTTTGGCCACACCACCGTGGTTTCCCCCCTCCCCCCAGTCTCTTCATTACACAGCAAGTGAGTTGGAAATAGTTAAATTAATCATTCTGTGTCCTGGTGCTCAACCAAGAGGGCTCCATCTTGACCCAATCCACAGGCTAGCATATGTTCCAGAAATCTTGGACTTGGAGCTGCATGAACAGGCTGGGCTTGACTCTGGGTCATTTCTACTTGAGAAGGGCTGAGTGCATTTCCAAAACCATGTTGAATAGTTGCTCTGATGTGGGGTGGGGAGCATTTTGGAAAGAAGGGTGTGTGGGAGTGCTGGCACCCAGGAGTACACTGTGATGAACTGCCGCTGCTTTTACTGGTGACCCACTGCATCTCTTCCAGCTCATAGATTTTGGTGGACTGCATCTGGCCAAAGGTATGACTGATTACTCCTGGCCACAGTGATTTGTGTTCATGGATGAGCAGGTGACCCAGAGAAGGCCCATTAGGGTGACACCAGGGATTTTTTTCTGAAATCATGATGGAAGAGAAACTAAGTTGCTAGCATGTCAGCCCAGAGGTGGGACTCATCTCTGCTGCTACAAAGTGAGGGCCTGCCTGGGAACCAAGCTGAACAGCAAAGCTTGTCCACCAGCACTGGTGCCTGGGCCACCCCATCTACCCTTGGAATCTGGGCTCAGCATGCTGAGTGGAAGGACTGTGGTGCTGGGAGGTTTGGAGGGTCTGGCTGTCCTGCTGTGGTCCCCACGAGGCCCAAGTGCACTTGCTCCCCAGCGTGGGGTTCTTGGCTCCTGGTGCCCTAATGATCAAGGCCCTTGCACCTGAACTAGCCACATGGGTGTCTGTTCTAACTCTGCTGTGTACTGTGTGAGCCTGGCCAGATCCTTAGCTACTTAGGACCTCAATGTCCTCAGCTGACAAATGGCATGTAACTCCTATCTCCAAGGGTTGCTGGGAGAAGCCCACAAGGTAATGCCTGTAAAGCACTGGGGACAGATCCCAGCCCTCAGCGGGTGCCCTGGGGGCTGGGAGCAGGCAGAGGTTCTCAGACCCTGGAACCCCATCAGGGCAGGACCACACCTGGGAGCTGAGCTGCTCAGAGGACAGCTTGAAGGTGGTTGTGATCTTCTTTGCCAGCACATTGGCCTCATTAAAGCCAAAGGAATAGAGGGAGATCTCAGCAATCATGGCGTAGTCCGGAACCATCATGGCCACGGGTCTGAAAAGCGCCTGGGGCACAAGGTGCATATGTGAACAGCAGACAGAGCTCGCCCCCAGCGCACCCCCGCTTCACCTGGCCCTCCTCCCCAGTGTCCTGGGACTCCCTACGGCACCAGGCCTGCCACAGTTGAGGCTTCCACTCCCCCAAGGCTGGTATCTCTGCCATTTGAGTGCATCCTTTGTGTTGATCCAAACCTGCCCCCACACGACTCCCAGGAGATGCCCCTCTTGGCTCCTCTTTTCCTGTTTCTCCTGAAGGCCCAGGCCTAGCAGGCCTCATAAGAATCCCCCTCCACACCACATCCATAGGCAGCCTGACTTCTCCCATGCACAAGCTGAGGCCTCTCCTCCATGGCCAGGGGACTGCCACAGGGAATCACAGTCCCTGGAGTCCAAGCAGTTATGTCCTTGCATAAGTGACTTGGCATCTCCAACTCAGGCCAGAGTTCCGGTGCTTCCTGGGCCACTCTGGGCCTGCACTTGCCTTCAGATTGTCAGGCAGCTCCGTGCGGCCAGCGTAGCCTGGGTTCATGGTGATAAACACGGCACAGGATGGTACCAGTGGGATCTCCACACCCTCAAACATGAAGCGTTCCACCTGCAGCAGGGAGGGGCTGACTCGCCTAGGACTAGGGTGCCCAGCCCTGTCCCCTCCTCTGTGTGGGCCCCTTGCCTCCTGTTGATGCCTCTGTCCTGGCTGTAGCTGGTTGGCCAGGCCTGGACCCCTGATTATGGGTTGGACCCTCTCTCAGGATCTGGCCAAAACTTTAGGCCCCAGTGGCCACCCATGACCTCCCAGCTCCTGGCTTCAGGACCTCGAAGGTCTCCACACATCTCCTGCTTCCCACTCGCTCCACCCCCAGTTCCTGACATAGAATCTCCCCAGCCCCAGGCAAGCTCAGCCTGACTAGGGGGCAACTGCCAGCCTCTCAGCTCTTGTCCCCAGAACAAGGTCCCTGGCCACCCTGCACATGGCTAGAAAGAAGACCAATGCCTGGGGCTTTCCATGAAGGTCAGGATGTAGTGATCTTCAAGGAAAGCCTCAAACTTCATCCCCTCCAGTTTGGTCTGGGAGCTGCCCACAGACTGGGGTGTGTGCCCCCTAGGCAAGGGAGGCTGGACCCAGGGCAGCCCCCAGAGGCTGGCTTCTCAGCCTGCAATGGGGAGCAGTATGGTGGTGCAAGCGTGGCAGGTCCAAGGGAGTAGGGCGGCGCCCTGGGCTCACCCGTTGCTGCTGCGCCTTCTGGATGGTGGTGATCTGCTGTGCCACCACAGACAGCACCTCAATGTCGATGCGATTGAACTCATCAAAGCAGGCCCAGGCCCCGGCACTGAGTGAGGCCAGAACATTGGGTGAGGCACATGCGTTCAGAGCCCAACCTGGCACCTCCCTCCAAGGGGCCACTCCAACTCCACTTGGGAGGAAGCTCTCAGGAGCGATCTCCGTCAGCTCAGTCTTCACCACTGCCACTCCACACCCCAATGCCCCCGGGACCAAGCCCCAATGCCTATTACCCCCTCTGTCCCCTCCAGCAGCCTGCCAGGCCCCTCTCAAGCAGTGCTCTCACCTAGCCCTCCCCAAGGAGAGCTTCGCCGTCCTACTCCCTCCTGTGCCAACCTCACGCCCAGCCTCACCTGGCCAGGCCCTTGAAGAACTTGCCCATGGCCATGAAGTCGAGCTGGTCAGAGCAGTTGAACACAACGGTCTGTATGGCCAAGGCCTTGCCCAGGTCTTTGGTGGTCTCAGTTTTGCCTGTGCCAGCTGGGCCAGCTGGGGCACCCCCAAACTTGAGGTGCAGGGCCCCAGTCAGCGTCAGGTAGCACCTGCAGGAGACACAGAAGGTGGCCTCGGGCCATACACGGCCTGGACATCCAGACCTGGGGAGATCCTCCTCCTCTAGGGTCCTGTGGACGGGCGCCTCTCGCCCCATCCCCTTTCGGGGACCCTGGGCGTGCCCAGCCCTGGCGCCGGGGTCAGGACTGGAACCTATGGACACTATCCAGCGTGTTTCCTGTCCCATTTCACCACCAGGCCCAGCTTTGCCCAGGGACCCACAGGGATGGCTGACCTGTGGCCACACTTTGCTTCCCTCAATCAAAACACAGCTTGAAAATCCAGCTGGTGCTAGATATGGGCGGCGAGATGAAACGACTGATTGAGCTAAGAGAGGACTATTAGAAAAGGACTCACCCATTATGTCTGTCAAGCTCAGTTCCTCTGGCACATTAAAGGAGGAACTGACGGATAAAACCAGGAACTCGCACACCCATTAGATGCTCACTGAGTGCCACACGTGTGCTGAGAGCTTAACGTATACCAGCTCATGAAATTCTCATTACCACCCTGAGGAGGCCTCAGAGGAAATTTAGGCACAGAGGGGTCAAGTCACCTGCTCAAAGTCACTCCGCCTGTGATGGGCAGAACTGAAGTCAGCCCAAAGTCCTTGGTCCCAGCCCTGCACTGCTCTGATAGACTAAATCACCCCAGAGTAGCCACGGTCCCTGGACTCCTGGGCCAGAGAGAACTGGAGGGATTGTCTCAGTGTGGGAAGGAGCAAGAGGGGGACCCTAACCTGTCGGTGAGGGGCGTGATCACCAGCCTCCCACTGTTGCCCAGGTACTCGTAGCCATAGATGAACTCGGCATTCACAGCACGGATGTATAAGTCATTATTCGTCCAGTAGTACCTGGTGGTACAGGGAGATGGGCGCCTAGTCATGGGGCCATGGGTCACTGGGCAGGGCATATAGTCAAGGAAAGGTTCTTTTTGGGAATGAGGGCATCAAGGCACCCATGCCCAGCCTGTCCCAGAGGCTCGAGGACAGGACCAGCTTATTGCTGACTTTCCTCTTTTCCCCTGCCCCCTCCTGGCAGCTGCTCTGGCTCTGGGGGCGTCCCCCACGCCCTCACCTCAGCTGTGAGATCCACTCAAAGTCATTCACGCTGACCACGTTCTCCTGGATCAGCTTGCTCACCACGTCCTTGGCGTGGACCTCAATGACGATTAGTGCTGACAGCACTGCCCGCTGCATGCGGGACAGCTTCCCCCGCACCAGGGCCACAAGGTCACTGAGCTGCAGGAGTGGGGGACATTGTCAAAAAATCAGGGTGCCACGAGGAGGCTCACCCTCCCCTTTCACAGAGGGTGGGATTTCGCCACAAACAATCCCTCTATCTTGGGGGGCTCTGATGGTCCAGGATGGGAGGGGAGTGGGGACCGGGCAGGAGGAGGGAAGGAAGTAGAATGGAGGCATACACCTGGCATCTGCCTCCCTGCAACTCTCAAGGTCAGGCGGGAGAGCCTGACGAGCCGGAGCAAGGGGTGCCTGCAGCACCGTGCAGGAGGGACCACGCGCATGGCTCCCTCACTGACCCTCAAGGACAGGACATCGCCTCAGTCCCACCCCTCCTGCTGGTGGCTGGTTGTGAGACACTTCAGCGGTGTCTGATATCTTTAGACCCAACCCCGGGCCTCTTCCAGGCTCAATACAGGAGAAAGCTCCTGGAGGGACTGGGCCCTCCTGTGCAATGTAGCAGGTGAAGGGGGACAGACAGGGGTCCTCTTGACTCCAACCTGCTGGCAGAGCTGGGGGAACAGCCGGCTTCTGAGGTCGCCAGCCTCCAGAGCCTCTGCCACCTCCATGGTCCAGTAGGTCTGGCACCCAGCGATGGTCACCTGGCCAGGCCAGTTCAGAACCCACTGGGTCCTGAGCATCTAGGAAGACAACATGGGCAGGCTGACCCGGGCAGCCGCAGCCCTGATCCCATTCTCTCTTCTTCCTTTGAATGCTGTCTGTGCCTTTCAGACTTGGCTCCAGTTGTTGATGCCACCAGTCCCTCCAGAGCAGGGAAATCCTTATGCTCTGGGCTTCTTCGGGTGGCAGAGATATCTCTGAACTGACTCTGCAGGCCAGGGCCTCACCTAGAGCCCATCTGCCAGTCATGGGGCTGAGAGAAGGACTGCAGGAGAGGACGCAGCCTGGAGCCTGGCACCCAGTGAGTGCTGGGAATGGAACAGCCATCCCGATGATCATTAGGAGTGAGTCTTACTTTCTGGAGTGTATGTGGAAGGGAAAGACTTCAGATTCTCGCCTGAGCCTCCAGGGACCTCATGGCTGCAGCCTGAGGATGAGGCCAGCTGGAACAGGAGGGGCACTGAGAGGGCGCAGGGGGCACAGGGGCAGAGGCTGGATGGGCTTCGGGCGGCTCACCGTGGGGTAGGCCTTGATGGCCCTCTCGATGATGTGGCGCACACTGGCCTTCATGCTGCGCTCTACCTCCCGCAGCCAGTCCTCCACGTTGCTGGAGGGGTAGATGGAGAAAGACAACTGCACCTCCTCCCCCTCGGCCGAGTACATGTGCGTGATCTCCAGGTCCTCCTGGAACAGCAGCTGCAAGCAGCAGGAGAGCATGAGTGGGGTCACCCCCAGTGTCCCCAGATGCCCTGCCCACCACAGTCCCAGCACTAAGCCTGCCTGTCCAGGGCCTACCACCTCAGGAAGAGAGCCCTGCGTTCCTACCCCCTGAGAGTCTCTGTCGGCTGGGCCTTCCCAGGCTGCATGGCCTGCTTTCTCCCCAGCGTGGCCTGGCCCCAGCCCAGGCCCAGCAAGACAAAGGCCTTGGGGAAGGAGGCTGATTGCCCTGCATGTCCCTGGCCTCCTGCATAGATGAGGGAGGACAAGGCGGGTCACAGGCCTCTGGCCTCATGGGTTTCGCAGTGTGCCGGGGGAACAGGGAGCCCTGGTGAGCTGGAAATCCAGGGCCCCCGCCATGAGCTGGGGATTCTGCACTTGACCTTCCTCTCACAGGCCCTGGGTGTGTCTCCAAAGACTAGGAATGTCACACCTAATTTCCTGCTAAAAGTGCTTATCACAAAAGGAGACACGTTCTCCCTGGGAAGATGCCCCATGCTCCCGGTTCTGAGCCTGGGGCCCAGCTGCCCACCCGGGCGATGTTCTCGAAGCACTTGCGCAGGTGTGGCTGCACAGCCGTGGGGTCCTTTGTCTGCGACAAGATCTCTAGGAGTTCATCATCCGATAGGAAGTAGAATCTGCCAGGGGAACAGGGGTGAGGAAGCGGGTCACACAGGCTCCCTGGGCCCCAGCTGCCCAGCACTACAGACATCCCTGCACCCTAGCCTGAGCAGGGCCCTGGGTGCCTCAGCCTCACGGGCAGATACTGGCAGAGCAGCCATGGGCCAGGCAGTGCCCACCTGGGGAAGGCACTCCGCTTAGTCTCCAGGTACTCGCTGAGGCCCTTCTGCACCAGGTCCAGTATCTTGTTGCAGTCCCGCAGGCTGTCCAGCATCCTCACTTCTGAACACACATTGATCACCTGCAGGGCCAGACCATGCACAGAAATGGGTGGTGAGCATGGGCCAGGTATCAAGGCAGGCTCAGCCCAGAGCACCCACACCAGCCAGAGCCCCTCAGCCGGGCCTGGGAAGAAAGATGCAGAAAAATTCTCCTGAGCCAGCAGCTGCGTCCAGTCCCACAGAAAAAAAATTCTATGGTCAAACAAATTAGAGTTAAACTCCTTAAGCTAAGGAGTTTGCTTTGCTGCAGGACTTGTCAGGGCCTCTAAAATGCTAATGTGGGCCAGGTGCAGTGGCTCACTCCTGTAATCCCAGCACATTGGAAGGCCAAGGCAGGTGGATCACCTGAGGTCAGGAGTTCAAGACCAGCCTAACCAACATGGTGAAACCCTGTCTCTACTAAATACAAAAAAATTAGCCAGGCATGATAGCGCATTCCCATAATTCCAGCTACTTGGGAGGCTGAGGCAGGGGAATCGCTTGAACCTGGGAGGCGGAGGTTTCAGTGAGCCGAGATTGTCCATTGTACTCCAGCCTGGGCAATAAGAGCAAAACTCCAGTTAAAAAAAAAAAAAAAAAAAAGATAAAGTGGGCTGTGGATCTCCAAGAGAAAAACTGTCAGTGACTGTGCCTCTAAGGAGTATCTCTGAGGCTGGGGAGCCCACTCTGGAGGACGTGGGTCAAGACCAAATCCTCAGGCTTGTCCACCAGCCTTTTCTGTGTAGGGAGGGAATAGACTAGATAGACTAGGAGGCTACCAGCAATGTGACCAGGGCCCTTGGGGGCCCCAGCTGCCCCTCCCACCCCATCAAGCTTGCCTCTCGGTTCTCGTAGGCATGCTTCATGATCTTCTTCCAGATCCGCTCCATGGTCTGGTAGCGCTTGCTTTCCACAGGCAGCTGCCGGTTGATGTCCTCAGAGCTGAAGATGGGCTCCAGGTAGAGCCAGGACCGCTGGCAGTTCAGCCACTCCTCCAGCACCTCCTGGGGAGGGGAGGGGCAGGGAGGGGTGTGATACAGACTGTCAGGGTCCAAGCTGGGGTTTGTCCGCATGACTGAGACATTTCACCCCACCAGCATGCTGGGCAGAGCACTGGACACCAAACCCAGTGTCTACAGGGAGATTTCTAGAAGGTGCTGTCATCCATGATACCCCAGGGAACAAAAAGGATACAGGGATGTCTGCCCTCAAGAGAAGTCCCACATCCTCACAGAACGCCCAAGCCTCCAAGGGAGCTGGGGGAGCTGCTCTCTCAAAGGGAGGAATACACCCATGCCAGCAAAGCCTGCAGTGACAGCAAAGACTCAGTGCCTGGGAGACAAACCCAGCAAACCCAGCCTCTTTCCTAGAAGGACTTCTGGGTCCATGGCCCCAGGATTCTCTGAGGTTCAATGGGTCTTGAGTGTGAGAGTCCTAAAATACTCTCTGAAACATCAGTCCAAGAGTGAGACATCTTCAGAATAAGCCATTTCCTCCTTCCACCTACATATTCCCCATTCAGGATTTATCTCTGGTCTTCTCCCATCAGCACAAACTCACATACTCATCCACTTCTTCCTCGTGGGATGGGGGCCACAGTCAGCAGTGTCAGGACTATGCCAAGCCCTGGTGGGCACCAGGGGAAACAGGGGTGAATGGGGCCTGGTCGCTTCCCTTGAGGGGACCACATCCCACTAAGGGGTTAGTTTTGCCCCTGAATCATGGACCCAGCATGTATGGTAGACTCTGTAAGAGGCACTGACCAATGGCCTCAGTGGGAACCCCTTGAAGGAGGGTGAGGGAAAATCGGTGAGGCTGCTTGGTGCTGGACCTTGGAGGAGATGGAAGGTGGGTATAGAACTCCAGGTCGAGTGGCCAGCATGAGAGAGGGAGAGCTGGGACAATGCTGACCAGCTCAGGGAGCTCTGGGTAGTCCAGGCACACTGATAAGTCCCCTTCACCTGCTTCTGGCCTTCACTGGAGGTCTCTGAATAGCTCACACAGTCACACCTGCAGGTTGGCCCCTGGACTGCCCTCCAGGGCTCTGTGGGCAGCCCTTGTCTCTGGCCTTGAGAGCCTGAGACAAGTGTAGGCCCTGAGTATGGCCCAGTCCCTTCAACTAAGGTAGCTCTGAATGAGATGGGAATGGAAACTCAGGACAGTCTGGGAAAGGGCACTGAGGTGCTTTGGGGCCTTGTGGCATCCAGCCCAGAAAGTGTCAGTACTGGAGGTCCTGGTTATCCTAAGCTCAGGCAGCCCTGGAGAGGCCAGCTGGCAATTCTCAGTCCCTTCCTCAGCCACATTTTGGGACCAAATGCTGCCCTTCCACATCCTTAACTGCCTGGTCCAATAGCAGAACTTCATGTCTGGAGAGCCCATCCTTGTTGACTGCCTCTGAATGCAGTGAGGCAGGGCCTGCCAGAAAGCCAGGGGCTGTGTGAACGGGGGCAAGGTGCTGTGATGCTTTGAACCCTACCCGGAGACCATCAGTGACAGCCATGGGCCGGGGCTCTCTGGGTGGGGGAGCGATGAGGGAAGGACTCGGGGAAGGGCTGACCTGGGTCAGCTTCAGTTTGTTCTCCCAGGAGTTGATGCGCTGCTCAAAGGGCTTCTTGTAGGGTGAAAAGGACATGCTCTGGGTCATGACAATGTGGTCGTCCAGCAGCTGCGAGGCCTCATCTGGACTCTTCAGGATGTAGGTGTCTGTCTCCTTGTAGGGCAGGACGTTGAACAGGATGGTTGACCACTCCTTCTCCATCTTGTCTAGTGCCTGGGGTGGGGGACAAGCCAGGCTGAGTCCCAGGAGGGACTGGTCCTGCTGCTGTCTGAGTAGCCCTGGCCAGGGAAGCAGCAGACAGTACCTGGCCATGACCTTCACATGACCCCTCTGGCAGATAGTCTCAGCTTGTCTGTCAACAAGTCCCATGTGAGCCCTCATCTGAATTCAGGGCCAATACATTCTTTTTTTTTTTTTTTTTCCTGAAACAGAGTCTCGTTCTATCACCCAGGCTGGAGTGCAGCAGCGCAATCTTGGTTCACTGCAACCTCTGACTCTTGGGTTCAAGCAATTCTCCTGCCTTAGCCTCCCAAGTAAATGGGCTACAGGCATATGCCACCACGCCCGACTATTTTTTGTATTTTCAGTAGAGACAAGATTTCACCATGTTGGCCAGGCTGGTCTCGAACTCCTGACCTCAGGTGATCCACTGGCCTCAGCCTCCCAAAGTGCCGAGATTACAGGTATGAGCCACCGCGCCTGGCCCAATTCACTCTTACACATGTGCTGCATGTGGTTGTACCTGTGTTGGGAAGCAGCTAAGATGAAGAGAAGTGTGGGCGCTGGTCTCACCTCTGGCATTTACTGTGTCACCCTGACCAGTTGCTGAACCTTTCTGAGTCTTAATTGATAATCTGTTTTTTTGTTTGTTTTGTTTTGTTTTGAGACGGGATCTCACTCTGTCTCCCTGGCTGGAGTGCAGTGGCATAATCATCACTCACTGCAGCCTCAGCCTCCCAAGTAGCTGGGACTATAGGCATGTGCCACCATGCCTAGCTGATATTTTAATTTTTTGTAGAGACGGGGGTCTCCCTATGTTGCCCAGGCTGGTCTCGAACTCCTGGGCTCAAGCAATCCTTCCTCCTCAGCCTCCCAGAGTACTGGGACTACAGGCATGTGACTGCGCCCGGCCTGACTCATCTGTTAAATTGAGGATAATGTTATCAGCTCCTTCCTGAGGCTCTTGAGAGGAGTAACTGAAGAATAATAGCAATGGTGGACACTGTCAAGAACTTTATGTGTATTATTAACTCACTTAATAGAATGCATCTCAACCCCTGGGCCTCATGACACCAGGCATGGGCTTATTACTGTCATCTTCCCAAGTGGCTGTGGCTGCCAAAGCAGAAGGCCAGGCTGTCCGGCAGGGCCTGGGTGGGGTAGGTGGGCCTGCTGATGGCTGCCCACCTGCTCGATGGCATACTCCTTGCCAGCCACCTCGGCCACCTTGCTGATGCTCTCAATATGGTCCTGCAGGTTCATCTCAAGGCAGCGAGCGAAGGTCAGGTTGGCCTTGGGCCTGACGTTGATGTTGATCTGGTTGGACAGCACCTCCCAGTGCCGGTTACGCATGCCAGGGTTACGCAGTCCCTGGATCAGTGGGATGTATGGTTTGAACTCCTCGATGCGAGCCCGGATGTCCAAGGCCACTTCCTGGCAGGCTGCAGGGTAGGACAGAAGGGTGTGAGAGGCAGCCAGTGGAGGCAGGGAAGGAGGGGACCCACTGGGGTGGCTCCCTACCTGGCATGTCCTTGAACTGCTTCACGCACTTGTGCATGGTCTTGAAGGCCTCAATCACATTCTTCTCTAGCTGCTCAGCGTCGATGGCGGACAGGGGGTCATTCATCCAGCTCTCTGACCAGCGCAGCCAGTCAGAGGCTGTGGTCCAGAGGTCCAGGTAGGGTTGAAACTCCTTCACCATCCTGGAGAGCTTGTCGTACTGCGGGGATAGGAGAGCAGGATTGGGGCTGACTTGGGGAGCTCCCCAGTCTCTCTCCATGCAGCCCCTTCTGGGCCAGGTCCTCTCCCTCTCCCTTGTTCCTGGCTGCTGTCCTTGCCCCTGCCCCCACACACCTGGGCCTGGTCTCCCTTCTTCTCTTCCCACCCGAGAGCTGGGCTCTGAGCTGTTGCACCAGACCTGGGCTGACCCTCAGGCCTTCTGCCTGGTCCCAGGGGCCTCCTCAACCTGAGGGCCAGGGTTGGGCTGTCTCCACTCTGCAGCTTGCTCTACCCTGCCCCCAAATGCCAGAGCCCTGCCACCTGGTAACTGTATCTACACGAGCTGCTTCCTCGAGCCAGAGGGCTTAGGGGCAGGGCGCCTGCGGGAGGCCTACGTTGGTGATGGGCAAGCCGAAGATGCGCTCGCGGTTGTTGTAGAGCACAGCCTGCTGCTGGCAGTCCTTCAGTTGCTTCTTCATGCGCCGCACCTCATTGGCAATCTCATGTGCTCGTGCAATCTCCACGTGGATGGAGAAGCCAGCTACCACCAGCTGCAGGCCAAGGAGCAGTGGGTCAGGTGCCCCTGCAGCCTCATTTGTGTCCACGCCTTCCCATGCAAACCCCAGGGAACCAGAGGTCCCAGGACATCCACTTCTCCCAGTGTAAGGAGGCTGTTCTCCTGGAGTGAGCAGATTCCTAGCCCATCACAGGCAGGCTGACTGTCCTGTGGTAACACAGCAGGGCCAGGGGAGACCCAGTGCCCTGACGCTGGGCCCACTGCCCACTGGGCCACCATGGTCACAACAGAAGAGCTGGGGTCTTTACTACTCTGAATCTTTCTGGAGCTTGCTGCCCAGGCATCTCTTTGGCCTTTAGGTTCACTCTTTCAGCCATTTATTCTTTCATCCATCTGCTCGCCCATCACACGTTGACTCAGCACCTCCTGAATGCAAGAAGTGAGACCGAGCCCTGGAGAACTGTGCGTGCGTGTGGTGGGATGGAGGGTGTGTCCAGCACCAAGCCTGCAGCCGTGCCCCACCTGTAGCCCTTCCAGCTTCTCCTGGAAGTTGTTCTGATCCATGATCTGGATTTTGCGGAACTTCTCCTCATCCTCCATATGCTGCTGCTGCACCATCTCTATCTGCCCAAGGATCTTAGAAGGCCAGTTGCTGGCAATCCATCTGGTCGGGATGGGGGTGGGGATTGGGAGAAATATCGCAGCTGAAGTGGTGGGGTGGCAAGGCCAGGCAGGGGCATCCCACCAGGCACCCAGGCAGCCAGAGAGAAGGGGAAACCAGGGAAATCCAGGCAGCTGTGGAGGCCACTTGGGGCCGGACAGCTGGGAAGTGCAGGTGAGCTGGGAGGCAGCTACCGCCACCATCAGGGAGGCTGCCCTGCCCCCTGGGAGCTGCAGTCTGCATCTAGTGAGATGCAGACCCAACATGCCCAGTGCAGTGACCAGGACCAAGGGGAAGTGAGAGGAGTGGGGTCGAGTTCCACTCTTAAGCCTCAGGGGCCAGAGGGGCCTTTCCTTGGAGGAGGCAAAGCCACAGTCTCTAGCCAGGGCCCTCAGGCCAGCTGCCTTCATGTCAGACCTACTCTCTTTGTCCAGCTGACACAGGGGATCTGTGGAATGTGGGGCTTTCCCCTGAAGCTGGCCTATGGATGCTGACCCTGGGGGAGTTCCCCGTGAGCACCCAGGTGCCCTGTCTGCCAGTGTCTCCGGGCTCCTGGGCAGGACCCTGATGGTCCTGACTGCCCCCAACATCTGTGAGGCAGTGCTGGGTGTGAGGTCTCTGGCTACTGATGGGACAGAGACAAGGTTGGGGAGCACCTGAGGCCAAGAGGCCCAAATGAATTCCTTCTGCTTCATTGGCCACGTAGCTCTACCTGGTCCTGGCCCATGTGTGGAGCCCTGGCCTCTGGAATCTCAGTGGGGCACTTCTGGGGAGACTGCACAGGCTGTGGCAGGTGGGACATTTGGGAGCCTCTGCAGCTCAGCAGCTCCCCTCACACTCCACCCTGCACCTGGCATGGGGGCCCAGCTCCCACTCACTTGTCATTGAAGTCATCTGAGCTGAGGTTGTAGAGGAATTCATCCATGACCTGGTAGTCATCCATGACCTTCACAATCCGTTCCTGTACAGACAGGTGGTAATGAGAACTGCACGTGTGCCAGGGAACAGGGTGGGTAATTGGGATCTGGCTCCCCAAAGAGATGGGAACTAGAGAGGGGCTGCTCTCTTTCAGAGTAGAAAGGCCTGGGCCGGGGGGGAAGGCCCGGAGTGCAAGGGCAGCATCAGGCTCAGGACTCCAAGAGCCATGGCAGCCACACGTCCAGCTTCCAGCCCCCGACCCCCAGACAGCAGAGCTCTGAAGCCCCGGCTCACAGCCCCCAAACCCCATCTGTGCTCTGTCCAGCTACCTCCCCCTCAGCCTCCTGGGTCCTGACCTCCCAGCCCCTGCCTAACGCCAGCCTTCAGACTCTAACACCGGCTCTGTGCCTCCTGGCCCCCGTCTCACCTCCAGGCCCACCAGCCTTTCCGGGATGCTCTTCATCCATTCTCGCAGCTCAGCCAGCTCCTCAATGCTGTTGGGCTTCTCATAGATCTTGCGGCTGATGCTGCGGAACTCCTCGCAGATCTGGCAGCGGGAGGAGGTGCTGGGGAGGGCGGCGTGCTGCTCCTTTGCCTTCCCTGGCCTGCTCCTCCTCCTTGGTCTTCAGCATCTCCTGACAGGGAACTGTTCCCCCCACCCCAATACCCTGTGGCGCTTTCCAAGAGGGGTGCTCCTGGTGGGCTCCCTGGGTTGCTGAGGACTGTTAGTGGGCCAAGGGTGTGACCCGGCACACCTCAACCTCCCAGCCTCCTCTGGCCCCACCAATACACGGAGGGCTCCTGAGGCCTGCGGTCATACTCCCTGGCTTCATGAAACAAATCCGTCAAGGGTGTCCTTTGTGAGACTTCCCAGGCCTCTACAAGTCTGGGGAAGGAGGTAGAAACCCCCATTTCCTGGGACCTACCATATGGGACAGCTCCCTGCAGACAGGCAGGGATGGGACAGGGTTTCCAGCTCCTTCCCTTGGCACCCGGGCTCTGCAGACACCCCAGACCCTGCCTGGGGACATCTTGCCATATATGTGAGGGTGCGCATGTGCTGCTGTGGTCACTGAGGCGGGGCGGGTGGGCACTTACGCTGTCCACCTCCTTGTGCAGGTTCTTGGCAAGGATGTCCAGCATGGAAGTGGCCAGGGCCTTGCGCTTCTTGGACAGGCTCTGCTTGACGTTGTCAGTGTTGATGTAGAAAGGTCCGATGATGATGCTGCTGGGCAGCGAACTGTCCAGGATCTCCTTTTCCCGCAGGTGGGTGAGCACCACCTCCCGCACTTCCTGGGCCGACAGGCCCTGCGTCTGGTAGGCTCTGAGGACAGCAAGCACATGGGAGGGGGCAGAGGACAGTGAGCAGGGTTGGCAGGGAGTCATATGCGCCGACACACAAACACCCTCCGAGGCGCAGGGACACACGTACGCACTTGAGGAAAGTGGCGATGTCGTTGTTGCTCAGCTCCAGGTACTTTCGGTACTCTTTGGCATAGGCCCGCAGTGGGATCATGGCCTTGGCCATGGCGCTGGAGATGGTGGCCCGTAGCTCCTCCACCAGTGGCTCATGAAGGCCCACCGACTCCAGCAGGGGGTCACCGCTGATGAAGATGTCCTCCATCACCAGCTGCGAGGGAAGGCATGGGAGGGGCAGCGCTGGATGAGCCAGGTGGTGAAGAAGCAGAGGGGCTGGAGACGGAGATTCCTCCCGAGGAGCAGGGCAAATAGGGGCAGGATATGCCTGAAGCCTGTGGATGGCACAGTGGCCACAGAGAGTTGGGGTGCAGGGGGAGGTGGTTTTGCTGTGCTGTCTCTTTACAAGGCCAGAAGGCCCTGTGAGGCCCACCAACGAGCAGCATCTTCCCCTGCCTGGGCCTGACTCAGCCCAGGGCCAAGGAAAGGTGCAGAAAAGACAACCGGGTCATGAAGGCTGTGACTGACCAGCAGGGGAGACAAGAAGAGCTAGGGCTACGGGGCTTTTGGGCCTGGAAGTGGGCTGTGTGCAGCGGGGTGTGTGTGCAGTGACAGTGACTAGTCGGGGCTTTGGACAGAGGTTCTGTATTAGAAGCCGGCCCATGATCCCCTCCGGAGATGAAGAGAGGGCAGGAGCTGGGTGGGATCAAGAACGTGGGGTCTGCGTCAGATCTGGCCATGGCAGCAAAGGTCCAGCAAGCCCAGGGTTCAGATCACAGTTCCGACACTTAGCAACTACGCAATCTTAGGCTATCACACTTCTCCAAGCCTCACCTACAGAATGCGGGTGTTAATAGTAGTTCCCAGTGCAGCCTGTGATGAGGATTAAATGAGATACTTGAGAGTTACAGGGCTGAGCATGCTGCCTGCCTGACAGGAGGCCTGTGATACAGCTGAACTGCAGCAGCACCCTGAGGTGCAGGGAACCATCAGCAGCCAGGGCCTGGGGCCTGCTTAGGCTGCAGCGTGTACCTTCTCCAGCTGGGGCACGGCGTGGGTGGCCAGGATGCCCTTGTCGAAGAGGTTCAGCAGAGATGCCTCAAACTGCTCCAGTGGGGTGCTATAGTGCACCCCAGAGCTGTCCAGCACCAGGTCCACGATGAACAGGGGATTCTTCCGGGGCCTGCAGGCAATGGCGGGCTGACTGTGGGCAGGGGCCTAGGAGGCCTGTGTGCAGGGGCGGCCCTCTGCCCTTCCTCAGCGCTATGGCTCTTGGACCTTCCATACACAGTCCTTGACTTCTCCTTCTTCCCAAACACCTTCAAGTTGCCAGAGAGGAAGACCCAGGCCGACTAAACAGATTCCTCAGCTCCTGACATGCTCCGAGGTCCATGAGCACCACAAGAGAGGGAGGCCCCCTGCCCCTGTGTTAAGGTTGTTGGGACTTGGGCGTTGTGGCCCCCACACTCTCCCTGGGAGCCCATCTTCCTTGGCTTCTGATCTCTGCTACGCAGCAAAAGCCAAGACTGGAGCTCAGCTGGGGCCCTCTGATGGCTTCTGACTGTACTTACAATGAATCCAGCCCCCAGCTGAGACTTCAGGAGGCCCCGTGAGATCTGGCCTGGTCCCTGCAACCTCTCCCACTGCATTCTGAGCAGCCCTCCCTGTCCTCCCTGACTCTAGCCACACCGGCCAGCCTTTCCTTCCTCGACTGCGTGATGACCTCGAGCCAAGCGAGCAGCGCCAGGCCTGTCCTCCCCTCAGTGTCTCTGCCCATGCTGCTCTCTCCACCTGTACCTCCCTCCACCTCCCATCCCATCACAACCGGTTTCTTCTTATGTCTCAGGTCTTGGCACAGATGCCGTCTCCTCCCTGACCCCCTGGCAAAGGCCCACCCCCAGTGTCTATCATGGCCCCTGCCCAAACTGGCAATGACTATGTATATTTATTTATCTGTTTGCTGCCTGTCTCCCCCATGAGACCAGGGACTGGGCCTCTCTTGTTCCCTTAGAACCGTGCCTGGTTCGTGGCAAGTGCTCAAAGAATATTTCTCCACTGAGTAACTCAATGACAAAGTGAGTGAAGGTCACCGGAAGCAATGCAAGCCAGGGCTGGTGGGACACTGCCCAGCAGCCTGCAGGGAGCTCAGCTCTCCCTACTGCCTGGGACCTGGCACGGATGGGTACCCTGGCCCTCGTCCTCCACCCTGCTCCATCCCAACCACTGGGGCCTAGCAAGGAACAGCTCCAGTATCAACAGGTGCCTCTGCCCAGCCGGGCCCCACCTGTAGGGGCTGTTAATTAAGTCGTCACCCCAGACCATGTCGTCGGTGCAGTTGAGCACGCTGTGGCAGGCATCGCTGATGAACTGTGAGAAGCTGGCGAGCGAGTCCTGCACCAGGAAGCGCAGCGTGTCCTGCAGCATGTACTTCACCAGCTCCATCAGCTTGCGCAGCTTGGACATCAGGTACACCTCCCAGTTGGTCTCGTAGAGGTTGTACCAGCCCTTGCTCATGTCGCGCAGGCTGCTGCGCATGGCCACCTTGAGCGAGTTGACCCAGCTGTCCTTGAGGAACATCTGCACCTGGAGTGGCCGCAGGCATCATCACACGGCCACCCTGGGGATCTGTCACCTATAGCCACACTCAGGGACTCAAAGCACCAGGGCACTTGGGGCTCAGGGCTCATCTGACTGTGGAGGGATGTCCCCTACCCCAACTACTGCTAAGCCCTGCCAACCAACAGCCTCATGTGACCCTGAGGGCTCAGGGCTGCTGGGATTAGGGGAAGGAGGGAAGAAAGGAGAGAGGAAATATGGGGCAACAGAAGCAGGACTTTCCCTCCAGCCATGAGAGACAGAGACCCAGAGAATGAGACAAGAGAGAAGCAGAGAGACAGAGAACAAGACAAAAACAGACTGAGAGGGAAAGACACAGAGAATGAGGCAGAGAGACAGAAGGGGGGCCCTACCCCCATCATACCCCAATCTGCAGGTCAACACGGGGGTGCCTGAGGTTCCTGCTCCCCTTCTAAGACCAGGGGTCTGCTTCAGAGGCAAACAGAGTTGGGATGGAAAGGGATTGGAAATAGAGCCCGCCCTGGTTTTCCCTTTCTCTCCAAGATGAGCTGTCACCCTCAGTTCCCACCCCAGCCTCCAATAAGGTCTAGGAAGAGGCTGAGGACAGGTTTTGAGAAAAGCAGGAGCTCACAGCCTCACCACGTGGCCTGTTGACCCGGGCCTTCCACTGTGGCCCCGACCTGTGCCTGCCGGCTCTGAGGTTCTGCCCTGTACTTGCCCCTCTGTGCCCCTCATGCCCACAAACCTGGGAGAAGGTCTGTGACTGGATCTGCTCAAACTCCTCCAGGCGGCTGTACTTGGAGAGGTTTGAGTGGAACAGGGACATGGTGGTCACACTGTTGCACTGGGCCCTCACCTTGCTGAGAGCCGTGATGACCTCTGGCCGTGTGAGCAGGGACACAAAGGTGAAGTCCTCCTTCTGTTCCCGGAAGGGGTACTTGGGGACACTCACCAACCCTGCAGCGGTAGTGGCCAAGGGCCAGGATGAGACCCTGCCTGGCCACACCAGGACACAGGACAGATCCACAGGTGCTTGATGGAGGGCCGTGACTCCTGCCTTCTCCCCGGAAGAGGGACTAGCATTCCCAGAGCCCCACTTTTCCCATAGTTTGCTAGAGTGGTGCTGCAGCTCTTTAGTGAGGTGCCCACTCTGAGATGGATAAAGTAATTCCTTCTAGGACCCCTTAGTCACAGACTCCTCTGAGAAGTAGATGAGGGCCGTGGACCGCCTCCTCATCCACCCCCACCTGTGCTGCACACAAGCTCAAGGTCTGTCCACAGCCTGCCCTGGAGCACCAAGGAAGGAAGATGTGGGTACCAGGACCTCTTGGAATGCCCACTGTCCACACCCCAGCCTGCATGCTGAGTACATGACACACAGGAAGCTGAGTCTAGGAAGGTTGGCAGGGGAGCTCAAAGCAAGGAGCATTCTTGGGCCCCGGGATCCTGCTCTGAGACTCAGTCTCCTCTTGCTACTGGAGGAAGAAGGACTGTCCTCTAGGTCAGAGCAGCAGAGCCCCTTCCATCTACTGTGGAAACACTGTTTCCTAATACAAGTTCACCTTGCTACTTCTGTGCAATTCCCACTAATATGTTCAAAAAGAGCCTTCTTCCCCTTCCCCTGGTCCAGAACCCTCTAGGCAGCTGGGAGAAGTGGGACAAGTGCTGGAGACAGGGAAGGTGCAGGGAGTGTCGAGCTAATGATGCCCACAGTGGCAGAGCAGATGATTGTGGAGGGGAGGGTTGGGGGACAGCTCTGGCCAGGTGGACGGCCATGGGGCCTGTCTTGGTCCAGTGACCCTCACCTTGCTCAGGCACCTGCTCCTCCTCCTTCTTGGGGAGGGTCACATAGGAGAAGGTCTCAGGCTTGGAAGAGACAATGTGGTCAAAGTTGATCTTGTTCATGCTGCGCTCATAGTCCAGGCTCACTTCTCTGGCGAGACTGCTGAGGTGCTCTAGAACCCTGCCCATGGAGACAGGAGATGGGGGCATCAGGGGCTCCACATCCTGTGAATCCCAGCCAGGGCCAGGCTCTGCTCTGACATGGACCTGGGGACATGCATTTAGGGCTTCCCTTCTGGATTCATGGCCACACCCCTACCTGGCCCTGAGCCACTAACCTCCAAGTGCACCTCCCCTGCTTCTTTCATGCCCCTTGTCCCCATTTTCTGTTGCCAGTCTCTGCGAGCCAAGGCAGGCCCCAGAGCAGTGGGACAGGGTGCAGGAAGTCCTGGGCCTGGAAGCCTCAGAGAGCTGCCCACTCACTGCCTGCACCTCCCCTGCAGCACCCCCGCCCACTGCCCATGGTTCAGTGGAAGATGCCTGCCACTGAGCTCCCTTGCTTTCACCGAGCAATCATGGCAGTGCCTGGAAGGTGCTGAGAGCTCAGGCTGCGCAATACCACGACTGGGCCCGAGGGTGGGGGACCCCTGCACTTCACCCTGGAACTGGGCTTTGAGATCGGAAATCGCCAGACCTGGGGTGAGCTTGCATTTTTCCATTAGCAGCTCTCGTTGGCTCCACATCTGAAGAAGCCTCAAATATATCTCTTTCTCCCCTGCTGCTCAGCTGCTATTCTGGTTCAAGCCACCATCATGGTCTCTGGCCCGATTATGGCATGAGTCTCTTCACTGATCTCCCTGCTTCCACGCTTGCCCCCTTACAACCCATTCTCCACTTGGCAAGGGGAAAATATTTATTTGAAACATGTAAATGATCAAGCCACTCCTCTGCTCAGTACCACCCATGGTGAGTGGAGACTGTCGGCCCGTGGCTGCGTCTCTGTCCCAGCCTGCATGTGGTCCAGCCTCCTCCACCAACATCTTTCTCTGCACCCCAGCCACAGTAACCCTGTCCTGCTCCTCAAGTACCGCAAACTTGTCCCTACCTCAGCCTCTGCACTTCTGTTCCCTCTGCCAGAATCCTCTTCTTCCCTTACTGTTTTAGGCCTCAGCTCAAATGTTATCACCTCTGTCGGGAGGCTTTCCCTGACCACCTAATAGAAAGAAGTCCTTCTGAGACATCTCTATTCTCTTCTCTCGCTTGTTCTTCACAGCACTTATCGGAACGCTGAATCACCCCGATTTCTCATTGTCTGTCTTCCTGGCCAGGCTGAGTCCCCAGGGTGCAGGCTCTTTGTTGGAAGTGTTCACTGCTATGTCCCCAGTGCCTGGCACAAGATGGGTATTTCCACACATGGCTGCTTACTGGCCTGAAATCCACTCCCTCCCTTCTTCCTCAATTTTGTTCCAGAATTCAGTACTTCCTCACTAGACTCAGGGGAAGATGACACAGCCCCAGCTCCAGGGGTACATCTCAGCCAGTTCGAGCCAATCATGTGGAACTTGCCCTGACTGTAGTTGGTTTAGGAAGGGAAACACAACCCAGTTATGATCAACCACTTATGCAGAGATATAAAAGTCAAGCCCTCTGCAGTCAGCTAAGATTGTTCCACTGCACTCTAGCCTGGGGGACAGAGCAAGACCCTGTCTAAAAAAAAAAAAAAAAAAAAAAGTCAAGCCCTCTTATTCTGGCTCCCTCCAGGACAAATTCGGTGGTGCCATGCTTGCCCCAGAGTTTCCCACAGGATCAGGCTGAGGCTAGACTTCTAAAATCATATTTCACCAGCAGCTTCTTCTATTATATCCTGCTTCCCTCACTTCCTTATAGATTTCTTCTGAGAGGATTTCGTCAATTGCTTGCACAAGAATCCCCAAATCAGGGTCTGCTTCTAGGGAACCCAATCTAAGACAACCCTTACTATGCTCATGAAACTGCCGCTGCCCTCTTGCCTGAAGATGAAGCCAGCATACACTGGAGGCAGAGCCCTGAGGCACCAACCCGGGGACACGCTGCAATGCTTTTCCTGCTGCAGGTACAGTAACACACTTCCCTGCCGTCTAAGCCAACCCGAGACCAGCATCTTTCATACTTAAAGCCAAAAACATTACCAATTGAATAAAATTCAAGAAACAGAATACTTGATAGCAAAGGTAAGGTGGCTACACTGATTCAAATCTTCCAATATATCCTTGGAAGGAAGGAAGGAAGGAAAGAAGGAAGGAAGGAAGGAAGGAAGGGAGGGAGGGAGGCAGGGAGGGAGGGAGGGAAGGAAAAACTAACACTACCAAAACCTGCATCTTTAGCACAACTAGAATAAGAAGACTGCCTAAATTTCAAATTGTCTTTAAATTAAAAAATAAACATTAATCTCCAGTGAGCTGTCTCTCACACTCTTGTTGCAAGTTTTCACAGAGAACAAGGGCAGGCTAAGGAAAACTGAAGAGGGAAATAGTGGCAGCCCTAAGTCAGATCTAAAATCCTACCTGAGGCTGGGTGGGGTGGCTCACACCTGTAATCCCAACACTTTGAGAGGCCGAGGTGGGTAGATCACCTTAGGCCAGGAGTTCAAGACCAGCGTGGCCAACATGGTGAAACCCTGTCTCTACTAAAAGTACAAAAATTAGCCGGACGTGGTGGTGAGTGCTTATAGTCCCAGCTACTCAGGAGACTGATGCAGGAGAATCATTTGAACCTGGAGGGCAGAGTTTGCAGTGAGCCTAGATCACACCACTGCACTCCAGACTGGATCACAGAACAAGAGTTCGTCTCAAAAAAGTATATAATAAATAAATACATACATACATAAAATCCTACCAGAAAGAGAAATCGAGGCCAGGCGCAGTGCCTCATGCCTTTCATCCTAGCACTTTGGAAGGCCAATGTGGGTGGCTCACGTGAGCCCAGGAGTTTGAGACCAGCCCAGACAACAGAATGAGACCCCATCTCTACAAAAAATTAAAAAATGAGCGGGTTTGTGGCATACACCTGTAGTCGCAGCTACCAGGGAGGCTGAGGTAGGAGGATTATTTGAGCCCAAGAGTTTGAGGCTATAGTTAGCTGTGATTGTGCCACGGCATACCAGCCTGGGCGAAAGAGTGAGACTGCATCTCAGAAAAAGAGAAAGTAACCTTGGCTGTAAAAATACTGAAAAAGTGTCCTGGTAAATCCTTACTACAAGGAAGGGACTTAAGGGCATGCAATTCAAGGCAGTATTCTTTGAAAGGCATGGCTTAAAGGACAGGAGGTAAAAGGAAAGGAGTCCGTTGCAGACTGGAGGGGAAGGGAAAAGAAGCAAAAGTGAAATCTTGAGATCTGCAAGATAGGAGAACAAAAACCTTGGAGGACCTACATCCCTCTCCCCAGCACATGTATGCGCGCGCGCACACACACACACGAACACCCCCCACACACACACCATTTAAAAACAAAAACAACTAGTGTGCAATACTGACAGAAGAGGGCGCCCTTGAACTAGAAAGCTTGCAAATCACTCCAAATCCTGAAATGAATAGGTGAACACCAACTACATTTTTTTCTATAAGCAAAAGAAAGCATTGTTTAGCTTTGTTTGGACGCTTGAGAAGATGAGAGCATCTTAACCGATAAAATTCCCATCAGCTCTAAAAAAATAAACAAGGACCAAGTAGAAGAGAACTGTAACATAGCACTTCAGCTAAATAGCCTAAAACAAGTGTTTGGGCATTTGAAAAACCACCCTGAATCAGAAATTCAAAAAGAAAACACAGAAATGGACAAATAACAGTAAGAAAAGAGATTTAATCAAGCTCAAGGAAAAAATAGAAAATAAAATTATCCCAGGGAGGAAGGTGAAATTACAAGATGCCCAAGAGAAAATAGTCAAATCAAAGCATAATGAAGTAAATTGAAGAAAGGCAGGATATAACCAAGAGAATAAAAATGAGAGACAATAAAGGAAGTAAATGAAAGAAAACACAATTTTTAAAAATAAATAAAATCGCCAGGTGCAGTGGCTCACGCCTGTAATCCCAGCACTTTGGGAGGTTGAGGAGGGCGGATCATAAGGACAAGCGATTGGGACAAGCCTGACAAACATGGTGAAACCCCGTCTCTACCAAAAATACAAAACTTTGCTGGGCATGATAGTGCGCGCCTGTAGTCCTAGCTACTTAGGAGGCTGAGGCAGGAGAATTGCTTGAACTGGGGAGGCAGAGGTTGCAGTGAGACGAGATTCTACCACTGCACTCCAACCTGGCGACAGAGCCAGACTCTGGCTAAAAATAAATTAAATAAATAAATAAATAAATAAAATTAAAAAGAAATAACTAAAAAGGGTCAGAAAGTGGTTGAATTAGAAGATAGGCAAAGAAGCAGCAATATATAAAAAGATATGGAGATATATAATGGAATCCTTGATGAAGAAAAACAAAAGAATGGAACAGGACCAAGATTCAAAACTATAATTCAAGGGAAATTTCTTTTTTTTTTCTTTTTTTTTTTTTTGAGATGGAGTCTGGCTCTGTCATTCAGCCTGGAGTACAGTGGCACAATCTTGGCTCACTGCAAACTCCACCTCCCAGGTTCAAGCGATTCTCCTGCCTCAGCCTCCTGAGTAGCTGGGATTACAGGCACGCACCACCATGCCCAGCTAATTTTTTGTATTTTTGGTAGAGACGGGGTTTCACCATGTTGACCAGGATGGTCTCGATCTCTTGACCTCGTGATCCACCTGCCTCGGCCTCCCAAAGTGCTGGGATTACAGGCTTGAGCCACCGCGCCCGGCCTTAATTTTTGTATTTTTAGTAGAGACGGGGTTTCGCCATGTTGATCAGACTGGTCTTGAACTCTGGACCTCATGATCTGCCCACCTCAGCCTCCCAAAGTGCTGGGATTACAGACATAAGCCACCGTTTTTTGTTTTTTGTGTTTCTGAGACAGAGTCTCGCTCTGCTGCCCAGGCTGGAGTGCAATGGCCCAATCTGCTTACAGCAACCTCCGCTTTGCGGGCTCAAGCAATTCTCCTGCCTCAGCCTCCCGAGTGGCTGGGATTACAGGCATGTGCCACCACACCCAGATAATTTTTGTATTTTTAGTAGACACAGGGTTTCACCATGTTGGCCAGGCTGGTCTTGAACTCCTGAC